TTATCATTTTATTTATTTTGTCTCTAATGGTAATTAAATTAACATTTTGTCTTTGTAGTTCTAAATTTAATTCATTTAATTTTTCAAAAATATCAGCAAAATAAGCTAAACGCGATAACCATAACTCATTAAATAAAAAATTTTGCAATTCAAATTTTGAATCAAAGAGGAAAATTTGAATTTTTGATCGAAGTTCAAAAAGACGATTTAAAACTTTTCCTCTGGATTACTCTGGACCTTACTTCGGAATATAACAGAGGCGTTTCATGTCCACTTCCCATCTCTTGCTACAAAATCGTAAATATTCGGGAATTTAAAGATCGATCTTAATAAGATTAAGAATTTTTACAGCTGTATTCAGAATGATTTTCAGGTTTTCGAGAGTTATTTTGGCTACTAAAGCTTCACGGTGAATAGAGCACTGAGTAAATTTAGTTTCAGGTGCGACTTTATATGAGAAATGACGCCGAAATGTTTTTCTGTTAAAGTCTGAGCTCTAAGGAGTACAAAGCAACAAGAAGACAAAATAACTGCTGTTAGAGAAAGCAAGTCGACGTAAAAAAATGATGAAATAGAGCAGTATGACCCCGGAAATGGTCGCGCCATGAAGTGTAGACGTGCTAATAAATCGATCAACTCTAAAAGAATTAATGAGATGCTATTATCTTTTTATATAGTTATAGTAAAATATATAAGGATTCAGAGAATTAAATGGGCAGGACACCTGTGCAGAGTGGATGAAAATCCAGTAACTAAAAATATCTTCTTGGCCGGAACATTCGGCATCCGAAAAAGATAAAGACCTAAACTTAGGTGGCTCGACTGTTTGGAAACGGCTCGACTGTTTGGAAACAGACTTATGAATTTTAAAAATAACCAATTGGATGTCCATGGCCAGGGATAGAAGAGCTTGGTATTCGATTCTGAGGAAGGCAAGGGCCCATCCTGGGCTGTCTGGCCATTGAAGAAGAAGATTATCTTTTTATAGGTACTTATTTTTATTTCCTATTAAATACAACATCCATTTCTATTACTTTTCTATTACTACTATTTCATCCTGGGCTGTCTGGCCATTGAAGAAGAAGAAGATTATCTTTTTATAGGTACTTATTTTTATTTCCTATTAAATACAACATCCATTTCTATTACTTCTTTTAAAATCATCATTTATGACAAATTTTGTCATGTCTATGGTTAAAAGAATACTTATGAAAATAGAAACGGATTTTTTTGCTAAAGTCTGTGAGCAGCTATTGAACCTTGAGCAAAAGCTCAGATTGCATAAATTTACGAATGTCAGAGAAAAACTTAAGCAGGATGTTGAGATATTTAATTTTTGAATTTAATAGTTTAAAATACGTTGTTTCTTTGCGTGTGACCTATTTTTCTCTTGCGTACCACTAGTGGTACGAGTACCACCGGTTGAGAATCGCTGATTTAGACCATTTCTGTCTGTGCCTTAAAGAACACAAAAATTCTATAAACACTTGGAGTGCTGTAAGAAGTGTATTGAACTGCAATCTAGCTAAAATATGCTAAACGCGATAACCGTAACTCATTAAATAAACAATTTTGCAATTCAAATTGTGAATGAAAGAGGAAAATTTGAATTTCTGATCGAAGTTCAAAAAGAAGATTTAAAACTTTGCCTCTGGATAACCACCTTACTTTGGAATATAACAAATGCGTTTCATGTCCACTGCCCATCTCTTGCTATAAAATCGAGCTATTCAAAGTAACAAGAATGATTAAATATTCAAGCTTCATACTGCAGGAGCATAGCAGAACCCCTTATTATCATTATTCATTTTACCCTTTCGAGGAATATCTCACAAAGCATGTTCATAAAAATAACAATTTTTTCAGCCTTGTAAATTAATAACCAAATTAGAAAAATGCCAGGGTTCGAACAATTTCTTGCTTAATGTCACATACTCTGTATAACCAGCTCAATGACTCCTTTACTTCTGGCCATACTGTAGCGCCTTTTTCATGTTATTTTCCTTCACACTACAGTGATACTAGAGTACTAAATATATAAGGGTTGTTCGAATATGTCAACGTACTTGAATCCACAGTTGGGCAACCTTGCTTTCAGTATTTTGTTACAGCGACAGGAAACGTCTCTCTAGTATATGTATATATATATATATATATATATATATATTTGTGCAAGTTTAAGAAGACATCCATGAAAAAATATAGCAATGATATGATTGAATTTTGTATTAAGTTTGGTAAATGTGATAGTGAAACATCTGAAATTTCGCTTCAGGATTTCAATGAAGGTACTTAAAAAAAGACAGCAATTCGCGAATGATCAACGAAGCACATTTTATCACGCCATTCCTTCTGTTGTGGTTGTCAATGCAACCAGCCCATGGCAAAAGAAAGCTGACTATTTAGTAAGTATTCTGAAAGCGCATTTGTGGAGAATCATTCGGAAGGAAAGAAGATTTGTTCAAACAGTAAATTTTGCTCCGTATGATGCTGCTGCGGCATAAATAGCACTACGTAAAATCGATAGGACTACTCTAAAATACCCTACACATAGTCCGAATTTAGACCGGGATGACTTCTGAATATTCTTATTATTAAAACGACAACTGAGGATCAAGAGGTTATTTTCAGAGGAGAAAGCGAAACGTATCATGGTTGAAAAATTGAAAGTGGTATCATGAAACGATGTAGGTCATGTTTTCACAGATAGTTTATAAAAATGCTGTAGAAAGTGCGCTGCTTTCGCTTTGCAACTAGCCAATCTTTTGGGGAAACAGAACAAAAAACCTACCGAAAATCTCTTCGCATAAAGAGATAACCCGTTTTCAAACAATCTCACGAAAAGCATTTTCCGCGTTTGCAGAAACTCTGCTTTGAGCTTTTGAAGTTCCTGGAATGCTTTCTTTTCCTCCGATCTTCATGGATGCTGGTACTCTAAATTCCTTACTGTACATAAATTACATATAGCACAAAGTAATGAAATTGAATATAGGCGCAAGATTTTTACTGTACAATGTTAAAAAAAAAAAAAAAAAAAAAAAAAAAAAAAACTGCTGAGCATTGGTGGAGTGTTGCTGGGAAATGTAACATCACAAAACTGATAACCAAGTTACAACGAAAAGACTTTTGCCATTCATTAAAGCAACGACGATATTTTACAAATAAAAGCATACTGTTTTCATAACAGTTGCTTATTATAATTATTAATCCTTATTATAATCATTCTGAAAATACCGTTTGAATATAAAAGGTTTGAATATAAGGAAGATTTTATTTTGATGTTCATTTTATTTTCTCAATCGATCTTTTTTTTTTTTTCTTCGTTTTTAAATTCCTGCTATTAGCTCACACTCTCCCTATATCGTGTACAAATTTTCAGTCGTTAATAAAATACTTTTTATTCATCCACTCAAGTTCAAATACATTTTTTTGAACTTGTAGTGGCCACTTGATGTTAATACAGTTTTTTCCCATATTAAAGTCAATTCCTAAAGTCAACGAAAACTCTTAGCAGGTCAAGCATAAGTCGCCTTGAGTTGTGTGAAATTATTAGATGGAATTTTAATTGAAGAACTGGACTACTCGAAACTCACTGGAAAGTTTCCTTGCAATAATGAAGCATTACAAGAGACAGATAGAATGAGAAATTATAGACCCCCATCCGCTTCATAAATTAGAAACGAAAAAATGTTAATAATGTTAATAAAAAGTAACTAAAGTAAAATTTTTCTTTGTTGACCTAAGTAGGAACTGTCTTTAATTTTTTTTATATTATTTGTTTTTCTTTCTAAAACGAATATAAATCAATATGCATAAAAAATGTTGATAACGTATGTATGGTAAGCTCCTGATTAAAGTAAAATGCAGCTAAACTGGCCTTATCCTAAAAAAAAAAAAAAAAAAAAAAAAAAAAAAAAAAGGTTTAACTTTGTTTATTACAGAACAACAAAAAATTTATTAGCATGACCATTAGCTTAAAACAAAACTCTCTGCGGAAACTAAAGGAAAAGAAAAGTATGTGTGATAACAACAGCAGAAGTAACATCAGATTGTGTCTGCCAGGTGAACTCTGGGAATAACTAAGAAGTTCTGACTGAGAATTTTAAGCGAGTTTTAAGTCAACGATATTATTCACGTTCTCTTGTAAATACCGTTCTTTAATGCCTTTAACAAACATTCTCTATACGTAAAAAGTAAATTTAAAGTTAATTAAATTTTAAATGAAATTGAATTACAAATAAATGATTAATTATTGCTGCGAACGTTTATAATTTTGCTTCTTCATTTTTAATTGCGTTCAAGCTTCTGTTATTTACAGAGTATTCCATTTGTTCTGAATATTGTTTATTTTACTTAAGCAATTGAACTTATTTTCTAGATTAAACTATCTAAAAATACGGATAAATTATTTATAGTATTTTAATAGTATTTACTAATTATAACATGGGTTATTCCTCTTACCTGTGTTTTTCTTCACCACCCGTACATAAACCGTGATTAACTATGGACGTCGTCTCCAGTATTAACTCGGTTAATCGGAAGCTGATTGCACTAATTTTAAATGTGTCATTTTCTCTGGATCTTTAAATGTCTCTAACTCATATAATTTGGAAAGTATACTGAAGTATTTCATGCTTCATACAGTGCAGGAAAATATTAATTCTTATTCTTAGAGTGTGCAACACATTAGGTATTTTTTAGAAACAGGCGACATGAAAAATGAGCAAAGCCTTCGCCGGGAATCGAACCGCGGAGCTCTGGAATATGCGCCCAGCGTGCAGACCACCACACCACGAAGGCATGCCAAGAAGGCGGTAGAAATACCTTATAAGTTTTTGAAACAAAATGGGGAGAGGAAGAGTCATTTTCATAAATTGGGGTTTAATTCTAAATTAGCTCTATTAAATAAAATTAAGTAGTGTAAAAAAGTTATAAAAATTCGCGGATCTTTTAGGAGAATTTATCGAGAAAGAAGAAACAAGAAAGGAATAGACTTCATCATGAATAGAAATTAAATATGATTTATTAACGATAATGAGCATTTTTTAGGAACAGGTACTTTTCGCACACTTATAAGTGACAAACTCTTCATCGAAGATGGATTAAATGACAGCTACAGAATGTGTACTGGTCCACTAAGCCAGCCAGTGGTTACTTTATTCAAGTTCCCTCTCGGTATCAAAAGGCAATGATTCGTACGGTTCTGTTGCGATGCACGTGTCGTCAAACCAAGGTTTCATCTCTCCGCGTTTTATTTCCCAAGACAGGAAGTTGGGTTTCCAAGTTCTAGTTTTACCCCAGTCATTTTTAACTGTATTCCAAAGCTGAAAGAATTAAAAAAAAAAAAAAAAAAAAAAAAAAAAAAAATCTTAAAACTTCATATTTCAGTCCAACATACCAAATACATGTTTATCTTTTAATTTTTTTTAAAATTATGAAATATAAAATTAAAATAAATTATAATTAAACAATTTTTTAAATAATAGTAACATTTATTAACTCATAACTCTAAATCCTTAATGTTGAATAAATTTAAAAATTGATTCAAAAAGAATTTCAATTGTAAAAACTCCGTTTCTTTCTGCATTTCTTTGTTGAATGCATGAATAGAAACGTGTATATTGCTGAAAAAATTTTAATTTACGTATAAGTACAGAGGGCGTTTACACATTTTTAGAACAATTTCAATAAAGAATTTTAAAAAACAAATGTTTTGGAATAAAAATTTCTGGCAACAGTTTATTATTTGAAATGAGAAATATCGTCTGCTACTTTTAAATTTATTCTTCTTTCAAAATGTAGCATGAAAACAAGCTGTGGATAGAAGGATATACTTTTGAACTTTCCAAAGAGAAATATTCCTATTCCATAATTCAAAAACGCTGAAAAATGTTGTGTAGTATTAAAATTTCTAAGTACAAAATAAAGAAAATTATTAACTGGAAAGGAAAAAACTCTGAATTATTATTTCTACATGGAAAGAAGACTCCAAACGGATACCCGAAAACATGAGGCCTGTTTCTAATGTTTCTGAAGTTAAATCGCTGGTAACAAGAGAAAATCCACATATATAGAAATCAGTTGTAGTCTTCATATGTGTCTGTAGCAAGAGTAAATAAAACAAAAGAACTAAGATTTTCAACTTAAAAAAAAAAAAAAAAAAAAAAAAAAAACTAAAAGCATAATGTTTACCAGCTTTCGCTGACACACGTAGCTCAATGCATTGCAGAACCCTGTGTGAAAACAGTATAGTTCGAAATAGATTGTGATCGTTCAACCGATCACAGATTGTGATCGATTGTGACCTAAACGAGTAAAAATTAAAAATAAATAAATAAATAAGGGTCTGAAATAAGGTCTGAAAGTGCTCAGATTTCAACGGTCACACAAAAGGGTATGTGAAAGTTTTTCTACCCTCTCATTAAGCTTGCTTTCTACAAGTCTGCTCTTCTTTCATTCATCCCTGCTAGACAAGTTCTTTTTGTCTTGCTAACTTTATTATTAAGCATAATTTTCTTCGCACTTCGCCATGTACAATTCAACAGCAAAATTACAAAAATTTTAAAAGCAGCATGCTTAGAATTCTCGATGGAGTATTAAGCGTTGGCATCCATTTTTCTATTTTTTGAGTATTTTCTCAGTTTATCGTATCAATGTACAGTTTTCTTAATATGATCACTTGCAAAACTTTTTTTGTCTTTTTATCAATAACGTTTCGTGTGTTAAATTTATTAATTAAATTCTTCCCACTTACGCCACTCAAAATGCAATTGAATAGCGAAATCACAAAATATTTAAAAATAGCGTCTTTAGAATTTCTGATATACAGTGTCACGCGTTGGAGATAACAGTGTTTTAATTCGCAGTGCTGCCACTGCTCATTTTCAAATTGTTGAATTTGTTAAAAACTCATTTCGGTTTTACCAAATATGAACTAAAAAATTCAAAATTTAAAATTCGGGAAATTCGGGCTTGCAGTTGCCGAGGTGAAGGACTATGTTATTCCGGATTTGATGGCTCTAGGTACCGTAATTTTCACATATATACATTCATGCAGATTTTTAATTTTAATTTCTTTAAAAATAATGCAGGGAGATAACATTTCGTGGTAACAATTTGAAACGTGATTCAGACACTTAAAGCGATACGGCACTGAATGCCGTTTCGCGACTAATAGCCTATTCGGGCTAACGCGCTTTTGGACTAAAACGTCAATTTATTATCGAAACTAAAGAAAAAAATGTAAAAAAACCCAGTTCCGTAAATGCAAAGAAAGTTTCAGTTAGCGGTATATGATGATTGCTGGATTCTCTTAGAATGGGAAATTAAAAAGAAGAGTGGAAAAATTGCTAAAATCAACTCAATGTACGAGTACTCTAAAGAAACAATTTTTGAGTCTGATGTTTACAGAAGAAATTCTATTTCGTTATCCCAACAATTTTCAAAGAATGAAACTTCATCAGGGCAAAGCAATATGTTATACTTCGACAAGTGTCATCGCATTTCTTAAAGGAAATGAAGACTGATACAGGTATTGCATATATACCTTTCAACGTATCCCTACGAAGTACCCTGACATTTTATTATTGTACTATTATTTCAGTGTTCCTGAAATGAGCTCTTTCTAAGAGCAAACCCATGACGATTGGTTGATTCTGGAAAGTAGTGGAACAGAAATGAAAATCAGTACCCATGGAAATTTTACGAAAATCCCTTCTATCATGGAAATAGCGATGCAGACTTTATAGTCAAGGGAAAAGGCTATCAGATAGAACATTTAAGAAAATATTCTTTATATTTTAAACATTAATTAAACGGCGATGAAATGATTCTAAAAATGTGTAAACATTCTCTGTAGTAGCTGTGTATACCTAAACAGCGGCCTGCAATCTCATGTTATTTCAAAGTATCATCACAACCATTAGATGACAGATAATAGGCACCATTAGATGACACCATCACAGTATGGTGTGTTATCCTCATAACCATTAGATGACAGACAATAGACACAAATTAATGGAAATTTTTCAATCGATATTTTATGGATTGTTACAAACTTGTTTTCTTTATGGCAATGATGGAATAGAACAAGCCTATAATGCTGTTAAGAAGATTGCAAAATGTCGTTACGACTTTTTACGAGTAAATGATTAATTTATACGAGCATTTGTCTGTCTGTGGTCCGCGGAACACAAGTGGCCGTCGAAGCCTGTTTTTGTGGTCTTCTTAGATTTCATCCTCCCAAAAAAATATTTGAAAAAATTCAAATTAACAGTGTATACAGAATTATACTATTGCAGAAAATTCCAGAGTTTGGAAATTACACAGAAAAATCGTTCATTTTTCTCTTAATACTGACATTTATGAAATTTATTACCACTTACCCTATGTATGGACTTCCCAATCTAGTTTTAGCAATAAAAGATTGATTTAAAGCACTAAGACTGTGATGCTTCGTACCAGCATATATCTAAACATAGAAAATCTACTCAAATCTTGGTAGGTGCATTCATCACATTAATGTCAGTACCGATATTTTTTAAATTTAATTTGTTAAAGATTGCCTAAGCTCAAATAGCTTTGAATTATTAAACACAAATATAAATATTCTTCTCTTAATTTAATAGCTTAATATAAAATTAAATTGATTTTAATTAACTGTGTAATAAAAATTTAAGTTACTGATGGTAACATATTCTGAAATATTTGCTTTGGAAGAGGCCAAGACTAAGGTGCTCCACAAATTATTCAATTTTGAAAAGTCTCAAACATTTTTCGAGTGGTCCTCACTCGAAAAATGTTTGAGAAAATCTGACTTTACTATTTTGAGCAACGCACTTGGCTAATAATATTGGTGGCATTGATACATAATAGCCTCTATTCAACGCGGATTTGCTTTCATCTAAGTTTAGCATCAGGGGATTACTCGAAAAACTTTGTTTTGAAATATTAATAATTTAAATTTAAATGCAGATGTCTGAAGTGAGATTTATTCCGTTTTTAACACTAGGTATATCAAGGCACTTTTCTTAGCGATTTATAAATTCCTGGGATTTAACTTCTTGTGAAACTGAACAGATATAAGGAATTTAAAAATTCACTTTTTGCATAATGATACCTATATATTCATCTCCAGTGACTGTGATTCTGTAAGTCACCGGTGAGGAACAGCCTTCAGAAGTGCCAGTATGCTTTGATTTAATTTTAATTGAAGTGTGTATCTAAATTTACTGACGATTCCCACCATGACTCATGGATTGATTCCAAATAACTCTTTTAAATAATGGTTGACTAACAGTTTTCATTCTGCTTTATTTAATTTTAATGTTAAAATTTATCTTAATTTACTTCACTGATTTGCATCCATAACACATAATTTAACCTCCGTGCATCCTGACCAGTTGCCTTAATGGGAATCAAGGTACAGAAGAAAAGTTTAATACTTATATTTCGACTGTAAGACGTCAGTCTGTAGGTAATCGACAACCAATATCCTTAACGGTTGCCTTCAGTTTAAATTTGTTTTAATAATCTATCAAAATGACACAATTTTTAATGCATATATTTTATAACACATCTAACAGGTAGATAATTTTTTACTAACATCTGAAGCATTATTTTAATTAATGAAATATGCTTATTATGTTGCACATTCTGTACCTCGTACAGGATCATCTGGATATAAATCTTCCAGGCTCTCATATCGTCTGTTTCATTAAAATGTTTGTTAATTCTCTGCTTTCCCTCTAATAATAATACTTTCTATTTTGCTATGACATTAAATCCGGATCTTGAAAAACAATAAACATCTCGATGAGGTTTCTATCGAAATGTTTAAAAAACTGATGAGAAATATCTGTATATTAAAATTTTGGTAATATTGAGCCACTTTAAAGTTAATCAGGAAAAATATTTTAGAATTGGGGAAAAGTCTCAGATAAAGATTTAACGGAAAAGACCGATTCAAGATTGAAGAACAATATGACTACCAAGTATACTTGGTAGTTAAAAATAAAATTGGCTTATTATTTCTAAAACACCTCTGAAACATTAAGAAATTTTCTTTTTAATATGCTGGAAATTTGTCGAATTTTTAAATATATGCACTTAATTAATTAAAAATAAACCAGACATTTATTTTCTAAATCCTTCTTTGAGCTAGCCTTAACTAAGCTGCTGCAATTGATTTCTTTCAGATTCTTTAAATGTTCCTGAACACGTTTCTTATTAACACCAATGTTGCCACCTCACCTTACCAAATACACGAGAACGTTGAACGTTGCTGCCTTCTCCTAGGTAACCACAGCGAACGGCTTGGCTCCATCTGAAAGGTGAATAAGTGGTAGTTTCCTTTAAAAAGCTCTTCACGAAGGCATACTTCCGTTTAGAACCACACACCACCCTTGTTTTGCCTCAATCAACAACCAATTAAGCCTTTTAAACCTTTCAAATATTTGAGTAGACTTCTAGCGGCTAAGCAATAAGACGACACAACACTGATAGTTCAATCAGTACTCAAATCTCGGCAAATGAGCAAGCTGTATGGAAGGTTTCGTGGTTTTCTCTCGAGTAACATAAATGTCAGTCAGTTCTCCTTCAAAAATCAGCTACGAAGGCATTATTCACCTTAAGCAATGTCGTTGGCATGCTTTACCATTATTCAAATAAATAAGCCACAAATGTTAGCAAAAATAATGCCTTCGTTCTAAAGGTTTTACTTAAGATATAATACATAAATTTTACGCTCGTGAGAAAACCTTATTAAATTGTTTAAATTTCGTAAAAAATATACTCTAGCAATAATATTTATTTATTTGAAATTCGATGGACATTTGCGAGCGGAGTTGGAGTACATCCGCTGTAACAATTAGAGAATGAATTAAAAAACTGAAAATAATTAAAAAATTAATAATGCATACAAGATAATAAGCGGTGATTATTATTTAAATAAAAAATACATAGAAGGAACTTAAAATAATTAGTACAGACTTCAGTAGCCTAACTGAGAAGTGCTTAAGAAAAATTGTATATTTTTAAATCTTAAAAACATTGACCTAAATAGAAAAGAAAATAATGCAGCTAATGATTTTACGCCTGTCGAAGCTGATAGCTATTTTCTCATCAGTTACCAAGGAAACAAGTTTTTAATCCTGTGCAAGTCACTATCTAATCACATTTTGGAGTGGAATGGGAAAAAAAGTTCAAGAAAGGAAAAAAGGCTGTTTATTTCTTGGCCGCAGATTAGACTCCTAAATTTTGTTTCTCTGTAAGGTACAAAAACAAATAAAATAATCATAAGACAGTGCAGATTCTACATTCTTCAAAAAAAATATATATTTTACAAATGTATTTGAATTAATGTATTTAATTTGAAAATATATTTCTGAGTGTTCAGTTAATCTATTTTCCTGTATTAATATTTAGAAAATTTAAAAAAAAAACTTTGTATTTGGAGAAAAATAGCATATTTCTTGAAAAAACAACTCGAATTTCTCCTAAATAAAACGCCCTTATATTAAATGCAGCATTTATTTTTTATTTATAAAAATGAATGCAAAGAAGAAATACACGAGAAAGTGAAAAGTATACGGAACTCGATATTGTTCTTCAGAACAAGGTATTCGCCCCTGCATAAATACCGTATTTACTTCATAAATTTCTACTTCAAAATCACGTGGGTACCACTTGAAAACGCAGAAAGGAAAATTATGCGGGGTATATCAATTCTGAGCAAAGTTTATTTCTGGATTTTTGAAAGAGGAAACTTATCTTCTCTGAAATTTTGGGAAATCTTATCTTTAAGATATAAGAGTATATTTATACATTAAAAAAATAATTAATGATTCGAGGGTGCTTTACAATTGCGACTCGGTAAATCTGCCTCTGATTCTATGAGAAAAGCTAACAGAAAAAATCTACATGATTAAAAGTGTCTAGTAATTATACGTTTTATCATTACTATTGGTTACTTTATTTCATAGATTTTTGTTTTAAATTTCTACATTGTACTTTGCTACTAAGCTAGTTAAATTAAACCGGGATAATCGTTTAGTGATAAAAACGTGAAGCAATAATTTTTGAAAACATTTAAGCAAGGAGAAGATACAGAACTTATCTTTAATACCTTATGGTAATATGGACCTCAGAGACAAAGAAAATGAGATGGCCTTAGATTGTTGCAAATATTTTACCGTTTATGGAGGAGGAGAGATGATCACTTCCAGGGTATATACAGAAGGTATTTTCCTGATATTATTAAGACGACAATCTCTAAACGAAATGCCTATGTAACCCTTATTTATTTTCTTCTGATAAATTGGACTGCTTTTAAAACGAATTCGCAGCCTCTGATCTTTCCAATAGCTAGAAAGATAAGATTCAACAAGTTACGTACAGTTACATTCATAGGAAAAAGAAAAGGCCTGGAGCACGCAAGCAGCTAAGAAGAAGTGGGCCTGTTCTATGAGGTGCCTGTGTTAATCTAGGATTCCTTCAGCACTCACTGCACTAAAGACATGAAACAAATCCTTGCAGAAAGAAGAATACATCAAATAATGACCCCCGAAGAAGTGGTTGCATATCTTCAGAGTCTTCATATAACTATAAACCAATCATTCAATGCTCATTTACTCATGGAAATAAATACCTACATTAAATTAAGAATGGCGAGAAATCAGAGTGAAAACTGTGAAGTCTCGCCTGCAAGAAGAATTCCTGGAATAAAATTACTAATGGCTATGTTTTTACCGCAGTACTTGCAACCTACATAGATAAAAAGTGCTTATTTAAGAACTACATTGTGCTTGAAATGAAAAATTAGAGACAATGGATGTTCTGGAAATGGAGTTGCAAGAAATTCACGCCGGATTTAGGGATCTGGAGAGTTATAACGATGTTCCAGAAGATGGAATGGCCATAATTGAATAAATATGAATTTTTTACGTGATAATATGAAAGAAGGTAAATGTTTGCAATTGAATAAATGTATATTATTGTACATAGAATAAAAAATTCAGCTAAAATAATCAACAATCAGCAGCTGTCAGAATTAAAGCTTGGTAAGTAAACTTGCTTCGCGCAGCATGATTTCAAATATATACGTATATATATTAAAATGTATAAATCTATTATACGTTTTTTCTTCAAATATAGACATGTATTTCCGCAGCCAGGCTGCCTGAGGGGTAATGAAGTATTAGAAGGTCAAACAGAACTTTCTTCTGCTGTGAATTAGAAAATGAAACGTAAAGAAATATATTACAAAAGCATAGAAAGTTTAAATATAAGATGGATTACGCTTGATAAAAAAACAAAATAGCCATTTTATAAAAAAAAAACAAAATTAATCAAAATCAGTCAAAATTAATAAAAAAAATGTCTCCAGTTGATAAAGTGAATTTATTGGAGGCTTTTAATGCCTATAAGAATCTATTCGTTTTAATTCAGGATCCAAACTTTAACGTCTACTTGCTGTTAGCATTTAAAAACATAATTCGTTGTTGCTTTGCGTTTCTTTTGTCGTCTTTAGATAAATTAGGATTTTTCCATGTTTCTTTCCGTTTCATTTTCTAATTCGTATTTGAAGAATAAAGTTCTGTTCGTCTTTCCAAACTTTATTACTCCCAGATATTGCAGAAGCTTGGTTGAGAAAATACTCATTTGCTTTTAAGGAGAAAATGTATAATATTCATATATATCCAAATATATGAGTATGTTTTCAGAATCATACTGCAAAGAGCAAATTTAATTATATTACCTTAATTCTTAGAGCTAATGTTTCGTTTTTTAGTATGTAAAAGATTTCTTTAACGTGCAGTCTCAGTCAAGGCTATAAGCTAACATATTTGCTATAGCTATGATATTAACCAAGTAAATACAGTAGTAGAAAACTAATTCCACATTATAATATTAAACTTTTTAAGAACTTAGAGATTAATGAATGCAAATAAATACTTACCTGGTAGTAAGTTTCAAAACTGATACTCATTGGATCGTATCCATGACTTCCTTTGAGACACATATTAGGTGACGGGGTGAATGTAAACTGCAGCTTGTAGTTGAAATTTGCTCCTAAACTCACACCCCCTCTAGCAAGCTGAGAAAGAAATAAAGGCATATTGAGACGTCAAAGACCATTTTGTGTTTAAAAATAATTTAATAACATTTTAATGATAAACAAGGAAAGCTATCGGATTTCCCAACGACAGTCCTTACGAAACTTTCAAAGGTGATCAACCATGTATACAAAAGAACAGGTGAAAAACGTGGCATTTCGCAATCCTCCAAAACGCGAAGAGCAAGGTATATAATGTAGCATGCTTGCCCGCAATATTTGCACCCACATCTTGGCAAGCGCAATCCATCTTATATTTGAGGCATTCTATCATCAACAGGGATCATGTACCCCACGATTAAGTTATATCATACGCATACGTACACACGACATGGCAATGTGGTAGAAGAAAGCAACGTTGCGGCTAGAGTTGATGCGTACACCACCGAGTAGGTAATGGGTAATGACGACATTAGACTCACAGCTAGGAGCGTTACATTATGTTCCCTACAGTAAAATTTTCTTCCGAAGCGGAAGAGGTGTTTGAAGTGGTTACGAAAATATGTGCGGAATTTGTAATTTGCTATCGGCTTATTAAGACTCACTTTTTAAATACCAATAATGAACTGTGAGTGAGACTCATGCACTTTCTGGAATATGATGCGTATATATGCTAGCGAATTATCATAATAATACTGCTAATATAATAAACTACGATTTACAGTACGGTACCCGAGACCTATTCTTAAACTCTGTTATCACGAAAGGACGAAATAACCAAGAAATAGGATTAAATTAAGACTAATTAATACAGATAATGCTCAGTAAATTATCTGCCTAAACTCCATCACAGATTTGACTGAAAGAACCCCAAAGCCAAGAATCAGAGGGTTTCCGTCACCATTTTCTCTGCCACCAATCTTTTAAGAGGACTTTTGAATTCCTTTCGCTTTAAAGGATCCCTTTCTGCAGATACTACATTTTATTCCTCTAGCCAAATTGCAAGAATACGGAAACATCGCTGATACGAATGCTTAGCAGAAATGAGTAAACCGCTCCTTTTGGGATCAGAACAGATTCATTCGTTCACTAAATTGAATCGATTCTCTTTTACAACTCACCACTAACTAACAATAACCTTGATGAATAAAATAGATAATGGGAAATGAATCAAGAACGATCTGAGAGAATGGAGTGAAGAGAGAAAGTACCGACTCAATTGAACCACCAATTCTCTAGATTGATTTCTTTCCACTGTAGTTTTAAGATTCCCTAAAATATCATTTATACATAAAACTAACAAAAAAATTCCAGAATCAAAGTCTAGAATCCGCTCTTTGACAAATCACTGTTCGCTCGCCCGGCAAAGGGAACTGGTTCTTTGAATCACTGCACGAGCGAACGGCATATCTTTAATGCTCACCTCCCCCAAAACAGCACAGATTTAAAAACGCACAGCTCTTCCATTACTAATATACTAAGAGGTCACTGACCTTCCCCAATGTATCTACACTGTTTCGGATTGCAGGACAAAGACTTATATGATTGGGGCAATACTAGACATCCCCACTATTTCATTTTTACAGTTTTTCTTAATAAAGCAATAACACACTACCAAGTTTGCAAAACTAAATAGAGTAGCATTGATGAAGAACACTATAACTAATAAGAAGGCTCTTCGGTACATAGGCAAATATAATACAAATCTGTTCAAAACTGTTTGAATAAATACATCATCTTCTCCAATATTACATCAAAAGCACGGAATGTATTCTGTACGTATCAAATCTCTTGCAAATTTAGGTCACAAGAATGTAAGTACTTTTTGCGCCAATTTAATCATCTTTATATAATCAATGTTGTAAGCAAATATACCTGTAACGATTTAGTACCTCTCTTTCGTACACACATGTAAATATTATAAACAAAATAGTTGTTCGTACTGTTGTTATGTGCATATTAATAACCGTTCTTTATCATTCTGTAAGGCATTTTTTCCCTCCTTACCACGTGCTTTCGTGATGCAGTTGGAAGCACGTTCTTTTATCAGTCGGAAGATCTAGAGTTTGAATCTCGGGACCGCAATCGCTCATTATTCATATTTCTTACTACGGAAATCTAATGGCTCTACAACTCTGCCAGTATAAGGAAATGTGAAATCGTAAAATATTTACGAGAAGCAAATCACCTATGCGCACACAGAACGGTTTTGATCTTCTTGCTAGTTATGAATAAACCATAGAAACAAAGAAATAAAACAAAGTTATATGCCAAAATAGTAGGAACAGTTTAGAGCAGCGATTTTCAACCGGGGGTACGCAAAGAAACAGCGTATTTTTAACTATTAAATTCAAAAATTAAATATCCCAACATCCTGCTTAAGTTTTTTGCTCTTACAATTGTAAATTTATGCAATCTGAGCTTTTAGCCCAATAGCTGCTTACAGACTTTAGCAAAATAGTTCGTTTCTATTTTCATAAGTATTTTTTTAGCCATAGACATTGTAAGGATTATGCTAATTTATTTAACAGTTAAATGTTAAGGTTCCTTTCCTGTCTTCCTGAGTTTCACTTTACAACTTCCGGCCAGAACGTAGTTTTAGAATTGCGTTTGGAAGCAAATGATTTAACCGTGAAGTTTTACTGACTTTGTTAGAGACAGAGTTAGTGATTCTGACTAGCGCGCGTTCGCCTTCTTAGGCTATTCTCTCTTAAGCTATTATCACGCTCAGCCGTGCTTTAGGCCCTCGATAGCTTTGCCGTTATTCAGCATTAAGGGGCCAACTCTGTTAGAATCTTGATAGCTTCGGCTATATCTTTTTAGTTAACATTAGTTTAGTTCTTAGTTTCCTAAGTTCAAGCCCGAATAGCGGCTTTATTGTAAAGCTCCAAGACGGAGTTCCTTATTGGAATAATAAAGGGCAATTTCACCCGTCTTACGTGTTGTCTCTATCCACGAACTCAAGCGATTATTCGCTGATCAGTTCTTAAGATTCTTCAACTGTAACTTTAAAGTACACAGCACAGAATCTTACAACATGACAAAATTTGTCATAAGTGGTGTTTTTAAAGGAAATAATAGAAATGGATGTTGTATTTAATAGGAAATAAAAATAAGATTAAATATTCCAAAATCCTGCTTAAGTAAGTAAAATCTCATTAATTCTTTTACAGTTAATAGCATGTCTACACTTGACTCCGCCACCATTTCCGGGCTTATATTGCTCTATTTTCAAGTTAGCATAACTTTTTTATTTCTTAACAGAAGATATTTTGTCTTTTTGTTGCTTTGCATTTCTTACGTTTCTACACGATTTGTAAAAATTTATGAAAAAAACAATAAAACAATTCTAAATTTTCCAAATGGGAAAATGGGATCGACTAAACGGAAAAGTGACGATTCACAGGTGACGGATTCAGGACTATGTACTCGCAAAAAGAATATTGAAAAGAGAAGAGAATTTATTTATAGAAAATATAATGAAAGTTATTTATGATTTTTGTTTACTTGGAAAGGAGATGAAACGCACCCTCAGCCTCAATGTTTTGTTTGCGGTGAATTTTAATCCACTCAAAGTGTGAAACCATTGTTTCTTAAAAGACATCTTGAATCTAAGCATGCCAGTTGAAAGGATAAATCTCAAAAATATTTTAAAAGGAAATTAACGGAGTTCAAAAATAGTCATGAAAGGTTTTGTTACTTCAAGTGAAAAAACTTCGGAAGCTAGTTACCTAGTAAACCTAAGAATTGCCAAGACTGGGCAAGCTAACGCTATTGAAGGAAACGTTATAATTACTAACAGATAAAGATATCGTTTTAATCTTATTCAACGGAAAAGCGACTAATGAACTCACTTGCATTATCAAATGGTACAGCAAGTCGATGAATTCATGAAATGGCAACTTTCGTAAAACAGACAAAAACAGGCCATGACATTTCGTCCTCGCAACTTTGAACGATGACCTAGTGTCAAATGGTAGAGTCGTAAAGGCGCCAATAATCCAGTCCACATTCCATCAGTCATCTTCCAATACCTCTGTGTTGAACATCCAGGAACCGTGGGTAGGTTCCACATGGTTCCATTGAATAGTAAAAAAGGTAACCGTCACTATGACTGCAGTACTGTGCACTACGGCTCAATCTGTGTTGATTAGTGCCCGGTGGCTCCCTCCGCCAGCTTAACAAACAGCATGTTGTAATTAATGGTGATAACATTGGATCACAGCACACTGAGTTGCTTTCGAAACAGAAGTTACAGGGCTTATGTTTCCCGCAATGGCAGCATTTACCAAAAGCACGGATGCTAAATATGTATTCTAGAATTTTTCCGTTCTTCGCCTTTCAGTTTCTAAGCCATCATTATGTCTACGGATTTTATTTTGTGAGGAAGTGATTTTGCATGTTTAACGGAAAACAATGCACCTTCTTCAAGGAAACAAAAAGAAGAAGATTGTGTCCTTTAATTGAATAGTTAGACATAGTTTTTCTTTTTTCATCATGGGCTATTTTTATATATTAACCTAGAAGTCAAACGATAATATGTAAAACTTTTTCTGTCAGAGGCTATGATACATTATGACCATGACTGTATGCACACGGTCGTACATAATTTTACAAAAGACAATCATTATCACTCATCATTATTTTCAAAATATTACTCACTAGTACAGTTCCCAAGGCTTCGCCTCCAATTCTAACATTTGTGAGTGGTTCAAGCTGGTACACTTCTTTATTAGGACAAGCAGTGTCTAATGCTAGTTGACTACTTAGGTGAATACCCAGACTTATCTGCACAGTAGATATACTTAAGAGGTAAAGTGGTATGTGCTTTAATGGTCTGTATTTGAGATCCGTTGGTGTGCAACCGTCGTGTGTGAACTCCTGCCGGGTTCTACCCATGATCTGAAAAACAATCGTTCATTAATATTCAAATATTAGATTGTATGAAATGAAACTATAATCTAGTTATATTAAATCATTCTGAATACAAAAATATCTTTAATGTTTTATATAATAAGTTTTACGTAAATGCTAAATGCGCAATGCTAAATATATTCTTGTAATACACAATTTATATTTTAATGTTTACGATATCTCTTTTGATTGGAGAAATTACAGAATGTAAAACTTCTAAATCCTTCAATTTCTAACAAAGCTATAGTTTAGGATATTTATTTGTCAAAAGCCTAACTTGTGCAGGTTTAGCACAGTTAAGTCACTGACACATATTTGAAACAACTGATGAAGGATATTATACATTTTCACTGAAGTTAGTAATTGCATACGTTTTCAGATATTCCGCACTTTGGCTTGAAACCAAAAGCCGAGCATTTCTTACGTTAGAAATGTTATAGAATACCTGCATGAAATTTGAAACCACAAGAATAATTTCCTACTAATCGTATATACTAGTTTATGTGCTCATACAATACCAGTTTTTATCATAAATAGAATTGCACAAAATTTAGCGAAAGATCATGTTTTAATGAAGTGGAAATTTCATAAGCAGATTTTGTAATCCTTTTTCTTGATCTATGTTATCTGTTAATTTCTTCCCCTAAGTTCGTAATCTCCAGGTATAGTTTATTAATGCGTATTATAACAACCGGGGTAAATATTTTCATTTCCACGTTCGGTTTCATGTGCTAAAAGAGCTGTAACATAAATATGTTATTTCCTTGCCATGCCCTCAGTTTTTCGGTTTCATCTTGAAAGTTATAATTAACTGCGATTACATATTGTTACGAAATGTCCAGCTGCGGTAAGACAGCTTCTCCGCAAGGCGGTTTAGAGTGCAAGAAAATGGCCAGGGAAGGCAGGGTAGCCATATTTCGCGAGAAATCGCCCATTTGGGGATAATATTGGCGATATGCCATAGACGGATGGAGAACCTTCTAGAACAAATTCTTATCCAGTTTAATTTAGAAAGTCCTCCACAAAGGCATCCCTCCCCTTAGGCAGATAGCCCTCCAGGCTTTGCCGTAATTAAATAACCTAACTTAACCTTACCGGTTTAAACCAGAATGTTCTCGAAGGCAGCCCAAAACCTATATAAACCCTGCCTGCACGCGGAGTAGCAGTTAGTCAGTCAATTAATTAATAGTCAGTGAGTGAGAGTCTAAACGAGTCAGTCAGTGCCTCGTCTGGCGAGTTGATTGTCAGTTGGTCGTCGGAGTATCGCGAGTCTAGCGAGCGCATCGTTGAGTCTATCGAGTGTAACGTCGACTGCAGTGCGATTTGTAGCGTGGAGAGTCTCGAAAGTACGTTGAGTTCCGATAACGACCGAATAGAGTCGGGAGCTGTAGTCTGGTGCTTTGCTGTAAATGCACTATAGTGGTAGTGGTGAAGACGTCTTCACCATTATAGTCTGATAGCTTGAAAGCTGGAGTTTTGAGAGTTCGTTGAGTTTCGAGAACGACCGAACAGATCTCTGGTGCTTTACCGTGAAGCTGTTTTCACTGTTATAGCCTGATAACCTGAAGGGTGGAGTTTCAAGAGTACGTTGAGTTCGAAAACGACTGAACCGAGTAGGGAGCTGTATTCTGGGGCTTTGCTGTGAAGTTGTCTTCACCATTATTGCCTGATAACCTGAAGACTGTGTTGCTGATTGTTTCAGGCTGTGTTGCTGATTGTTAGTCGTAATTTTTCCATGACCGTGAACGTGCTTTTGGAATTGTCCTGAGTAATACTGCTTGATAAAGTGTGTTTTCATACTTCATCAAGTGTCGTCGTCAATCACTCTAAATCCACGAACCTGTACAGAAACGCAACAATATTGATGGCTCCTACAAGAAGCAGTTTTTAATAATATTCTATTGATATTATAGTCCTGTTAATTAATTTCATGATTACGTTAGTCAAACACACTTTTATCCCATCGTTTTAGTTAAAATCGAGTATGTTTCACCATTTTTGTGAATCCGCCACTCCTTTGTCGATTCAACGTCCGCCTGTCTACTGTTGGTTACCCACTCGATTCACCTTAACGCGACCTATTCTAGAGTTGTCAATCTTTTCATTCTTCGTGGGAAAATTTAATACTAGATCTGCTAAAGAGTCAATAAAACTGTCCACGGATATCCAGGGAGTCATTAAGAACTGCATGAATACCATACATACCCTGTATAAAATAGAAGATTGGTACATAACATAATATCATAAATCATCTACTAATATGGTAATAAAAGCCCATATAATAAATAGGAAGTGTATTCGAAACCCCAGTTAGTAATTTTTGCTATATCAAGATATTGATAATAAAAATGCTTTTTTCACTTATTCCTTTAAGCATTTTCTTATTATAAAGGGTGTTACATAGTTTCTCTCAAGGTTCCCAAATATATCGTACAGCAATCATAACAAGTATAGCAAAAAGTTGCATATTTGCACATAAAGAATTCCTCAAGTTTTGTGCACATACAGATATTCGATATGCCAACCCCTGGTAAGGTGCCAGATTTCAGGTTTAGCCTACGGGTTCCGGTCGCTTTGCACTGCATTAAGCGGCTAGCCTACCTGACTTGCTGCACTATGAACGAATTATCTTGTGAAATGCTTCTGTTTGATATTTCGTATAAAATCTCCGTTGCACCGTCTCAACTAATTTAGCGACTTCATCGACTAATATTTAATGAGCTTTAAGATGCAGTAAGCTGTATGTTCACCAGTGAACGTCATGCTTCTATTATACTGCTATTCAGCATTATGATTAACATCTAATTTGCACATTTGGAGTGAATTTTTTTTTTTTTCATAGTTATTTTACTAGACACATTCGAAACCCGGAGAAAATCATGAATCGCGCTATATTTAAAAGTAAGATATCTTTCAAGAAGCCACAAATAAAGAAACTTTTGAAATGGCTGAATCGGTAATGTCTGAAACCTGAATTTTAAAAACACGCTTTTTAATATTCTGAAGATTATGGTAACATACTAAGTTCCATAACTGTTTTAAATTAGTTTCAGTTGTTTAAATAATTGGTTATGCAATATAAATTAGTGGTAGTAGTTTCTAAATTACTGAGTACTTAATAACCTAAATAAAACGAAATAAAATACTAAAGAAAAATATTTAGGAAGTGGAATATTTTAATTTCTAAACAAGAAAAGTATTAAATTAAAAATATTAAATCTGCTTTTAAGAGGCTTGATTTGTTTCATTTGACTGTGGCAAAGTACTCGAAGGCTATCTACCTAAGAGGAGGGATGCCTTCGGGGGGGGGAAATTTCTACAGGAAAATGCATGTTACACAGAGGAAAAAGGAAAAAACCACGAAACGCCCATGAGCCAGCCCGTTCGCTAGGATTCGAATCCGATCTACTAGAGTTTAACGACTTTACCGCTTGGCCGCTGGTGGGCTTGCATCTAAGAGGAAAAACAATTACATGTAATTTTGAGGGCGTACATTAGTTATGTGCATGGAATAAGATTATACAGTAGACTGCGATTAATGCGATCGCGGTTAATATTATCATTCGGATATTCCTATCGAATGACCGAAGTCTGGCTCTTTTCTATATGAAAACATGAAAAATAGATCGCTTATTGTAATCAAGAATTCCGTTAATATAATTAGAATGTTAAAGAACAATTTTCTTAAACTACAGTAAATCTGTCAAGTAAGTTCAAAATACATTGTAAAAATTGCCAAGTGACAGAGTAATGTCACCAATTAAGGAATTAAGTGGCCAGACAGCTTGGTATCGTGTTTAATAATCAGTCACTTAAAATCTGGAAAAAATAAATAAAAATTTAAAAAAATTAAAACTTAAAAAAAAATCAAATAAAAAGACGGATTTTTCAGTAACCCTATCGATTTTGAAGAAATCAGGTCCCTCTTATTTAGGAGCAAAACGATATCTGCAGTATTTCTGCTCCTCTCTTTAAAAAATTCTCTGCAAGTATCTATATCAACTTAAGTTGCATTTTTGCGTAATTTTAAATTTTAGAATGGCAGGCTCTCTCCCAATGAGGGATGCACAGCGAGTAATAAAACAAGGGGTACAGCATCGGTCGGATAATTTTTAGAAATGATATGGATAGTTCATAAACAAATTTTTGCACTTTTCTAATTAAAATGCTACTTTAAAAGTGCTTATTAAAATGCTAGTTTAAAATGCTTCTGTTATATTTTCATGAAATTAGTTAAATTACATTGCTATTTTGAAGAGTGTTTTTTCCTCATCATTTAGTTTTATTAAAACAGCGTGAGCAAATGTGATCGCATTAAGAGTTGCCTGCTGCATATTGATTTAAGATCCTGAAGATGGAATTATTAATAAAATTTTTTGATATAGTTTAGTACGATTTTAAAACTCTATTAAAGAACTTCTGTAGTTAGATTGCATACAAAGGATTTTGATTGTAAACCATTGAGACTCTAGCACATGAAGTCAACCGTACATTTCTGAATACCGAATTACTCAGAGGAAGCCCTTTCTCTGTCTGTTATGAAGAGAACATAATGATAGCTTAGAGATTAACAAAAACCCTATTTAGAATGTTTATATACCATTCCGACGATAACACTATGGAGAGTAAGGGATATTAAAGCCATATTTACTGGACAAATAATATATGATACATGGATGAATTGATTTAAATTACAGTCAGCGGTTGGTTTGTGCTGGGCCGCTCATTTTTCAGTCATCGACTAGATGTATTCGATAGTTAACATAGCAAGAGAATGGGCGAGTCAATGCAGCACTGAGACCTGATAGGCAACGCAGAATCGTTGAAAGCTGCGTGCCACGTGCTACTTTTACGTCATAAATTAAAAAATAGTGGGCAGAAAGTGAAATAAATATACGGGGGTTAAAAGATTAGATAGATAGTCAATATGACTTGGGAAAGGTAACAAAGAAGAAAGAATTTTTGAATATTCACAACCAATTAATGATTTTTGCGTTTTTAAATGCTTTTGTGCTACAGACAAACCATCACGTATGGCGATGTAAATTAAACAATAACAGACAGTTCAGTTCAAGCACTGGATAACGTTGTCTAAGACTGCAGAATAAAATAAATAAGCTGGCTGAATTAATTTTACTGGCGCGTAAGTTTAAAGAATTATCTAGCGAGACAACGCAAAAGCCAGATTAACCACTTTTATTAGGTACAGCTGTCTAGGAATTCTAACAGCTCGAGAGCGCGATTGCCAGAAACTCTGCATTTAATATTCAAACCCTCAGTTTATATACTCTAAAAGATAATTTGTATTCTGATGAAGAATACGAAAAAAGAAATTGTAGCACAGATCAAAATCACAATAATTGGTTAATTAACATAACAACCCTACAAGCTAGAGGCAGGACGTAAATTTTCTGTTTGAGAAGCCTGGCTGATGCCCATCAAAGACTGTTATCATTGATCATTATGAGCTGAATTTATTCAGCATGGTTTTAGGGTGAACTGTTTATATGAAATTTGATCTAATTCTGGAGAGCATAAAGTTTAATTTCAAAGTCAGGATTCCTAGTTTCTTGTCAAACTGCTAAGCGATCGCTGCCGATTCAGTATCGTCACTGGATTTAATTTCGAAAGGTAGAACGCTTTTATCTTTCAGTTTAAATCGAAAATTGTCTGTTTGTTGAGATGTGCACCAGAGAATTTTGATTAAAAGTGTTACTATTAAGATCTAAAAGCACAAGATTCTGATGTAAGAATAAGCAAAGCTTCACATTTATGTGGTATTCATATAGATGTTTCTAAAAGGAGCTAAATTAATAAATTAAAATTCTCCTTGTACTCAATTTAGTGGAAGTCTCCGGCGTAATAATTTAAAATTGGAACTCTGATCTTATTTTAGGACACTATGGCCAATAGGAGTGGATTTATGGCAACGCCAGTAATAGTGATGACAATTTAGACCACATGTAATAATGATATTGTTGGAAATATTGAGCAGCTTGTTAAAATAGTCCTCCGGGAATTGGACACGTTTCTAATGTAAATGAGGGAGACTGGCAGAGATCACTAATAACGTGGTTGAATTTGGAATACCAATCGATAATAGTTGTGTCGAGTTGTTCAGACTCGGAGTGTCAGTTCTTCTGCGAGGAATATAACTCTTGTTGAAGACTCATGTCCTACCATAAACCATTTCAAAGTAACCAATAGCTTGTGCGTCATTACGGAAAGGCGTGTAATTTGCAAACTTGGAAACTCTTCCTGGTTGGAGTTTGGTCTCTTGGGAACGCATCATTTTTGAGTTTGTGCATAATGCCATAAACCTTCCAGAAGCAGAAAAATAGATTCCGCTTCTAAAAATATTGAATTTTAATCATTGGAGAATCAGCAAATTGAAGGGATATTTGTAGCTCTCAAAATGAGATACATTCCGCAAGAGAAGAAGAGGAAGAATGACTTTGCTTGTTTCTATTAGCTGTACATAAGCCACGTGATCTCTGAGGTCATCTGCATTGTTTGTTTACAAAAGGTATACATAAGTCACGTGATCAATGAGGTCATCGGAATGTATCTCATTGCGACAGGTTGATTTTAAGTATAAGATGGTCAAAGAGATATCGGTGCTATTTAGAGTCGAATTTTTTTCTCTAAGTACCGACATATTTGGAATAATTGGAGTAACAACCTATTATGAACTCAATAAAGCATTGGAGTAAGAATCTCCTAGACGGTCATTGCATACGTTTAAATTATTAGAGCTGCTTTGGGAATATTATATTTAAGTACCCTATTTTTTAAAGTGGTCAGGGTGGTTGTAGTGTTTAGCTTTCCGTTTTTACCATTGTTGACTTTGGCTTTGCTGTTGTTGGTTTTAGATTTGGGAGATCTAGGCCATGATCTCCAATTCATAAATAGTTCCCTTCTTTAGTTCCTCATAGCTTTTGTGGCAGTCTGTGGTTTGATGAAGTCCAGCACAGCGTACATAAACCTGTTGAAAGCTTAGAATTACCGATTATAATTACGGAAAATGCTCCGGCCACGCCAGCATTGCCAATGGCGCCGTGGAAGATTTCTATCTTCACTTCGCTTAACTCTAACATAAATACTTAACTTTAACTTATGCACCAACGAGCTCGGTGGTGTAGTAAATTTCAGGAGCTTTCAGGCTATTAATGATTTCCAGGCAAAAGAGAAGCAGCGACATTTTATCCTTGTAGTGTTTGAATTGAGAGATAATGCACTCAGAGAATCCCGAAACTTCGATTGCAGTCTGTACGACACTAATTTGAGTGTTCGGGAGAAGCTCTTTTAGGTTACTAATTTTAAGGGTATCTCTCTTCTCAGGTCATGGAATTTTGATATTCGATTTTATTTTCAACAAGAAAGCGTCAGAATTACAATAATCATCTTCGTAGACAGCTTAAAAAATCATGTCCATGACGTAACTAGATAAATAGAGCTAATCGTTAATGCCAGTTCGCCTTCGGTTTAATATAGACAGAGTTACAAAATCCGCTCTTCCGATGTAAGTTCTTGAATTACGTCTTCATTCTTAAGCTCGAATTTACGGGGTAGCATTATCTTGAACTGAAGATTTGTTGACGCTTTTGTTAGTATATCTTCACTATTCCCTTGACGAAGTTAATCGGTGATGGAGCTGACGGTTGAGTATTCATGATTGCTAGAATTAAAATAATAACAGGAGGTAGGGATGGACCAATTTTTATTATTGAAGTAGAGTTTGTAGGAACCTTTTCAATGTTCAAACATTCGAGCTCAAAGCTCGTCGTCCTAGGTCCATTATTGTTGGCGTCCGAGACGTGAATCGCGGGCAAGCCTACAAAGTAAGAGATGACAATATTTACCAAGACTAGATGTAGCAGTGGCTACTGATTATGCTCGCAATGAGTATTAGGTAACTGTGAGACCATAATCCGATGGCACCACAAGCCGTAACTCCAGGTGACGGGCTGGAACATCGATGCATAATGCAAGAGACATGATGTCAGTCACTACGGTACTGCTACACTCGGATACCACTATACGAGATATACACCAGTCGGATACGAGATTTATTAAAAAAATACCATGTTTTTAATGTTTCAATGTCCGACGCTGAATCCCCGAGCGCAGTTGCGTTTGCCTTTGGTGCAGATGCGAGATTTCATTTCCAAATCCTTTTCTGTTTTTCTCATATTTCAATATAAATGATTAAATTATTCCTGTATTTTTACTATATTCCTGTGTTAATTGCGCAGTTTGGTTAAAAAAACTTTCAAGAATGAGAAACTATAATTTGTCAGATGAGAGGACTTTTATTTTAATTTCTGAGTTTTTCGTGACTTTTTCTGGAAAATCAGGAATTTCAAAATTTAAGGAAAGCAGAATTTAGTGAATTATGTTAACTTAAGTTATTTAAATACCGCAAAGATCATGAGGGCTATCTAATGGAAGTGATGCCTTCGTGGAAGACTTTCTAAGAGAAACTGACTCCTATCCACGTTATCCTTAGGATAAACCATGAAAACTAGAATTGCATTTAGCTCATTAACTAGAATAGCTCATTACTGTGGGTTCGGACTATCAGTATTCAGTTGTTTTAACCTTCCAGCTACTGGTGATGCCTCAAGACTTTATTAAATCTCGAAACTTCCCGAGACGGGATTTTCAAGCCCAGTCGCTCTTAAACTACGAAGGAATGCTCATGAGCTTATACACATGTAAAACAAACTAGGTATTTCATTTCTTGAAATAATGCAGATGATTTCTGTGGAGATACTTAGTTCCTCGGTAACAAATTAAGCTTAAATAATACATACCCTGACATATGCCTTTGTTTGTCCACTGTGGTGATAAAAATAAAATGAGCCAATTTCCATTTCATGCCCTAGAAAATTTAATCCAGAAACAAACTTTGTGAATAGTTTGTACTTTGGAGGATCACTGGGTTCTTTCAAACCAGCAAACATACCTGCAATGCATTATTAAACGCAGAAAATCAGAGAACTTTTAATACCATTTATTGTAACTTCAGTCTATAATAAATTATTATTGAAGACATACTATAAAAACAAGAATTGCGTTTGAAATCTATTAATAAATGATCAGTTTAAAAATTAATTAAAGGCACCTTACCAGCATAAATTTCTGAATTTGCTCCTTTAACACCTAATCTCCGGAATGCTAAACAACTTTTCCTCTTATTGTAAGTGGCTCTGTCAGTAGCAAATTCTTCCTTGTCCTGGATAGGATTGAATTTACTATCTTCTGTCCATTCGTTGCAGTTGAGATCATCCCATATGGCCCTTTTTTGTCGACTATCATGTTCAGAGTTCCAAGGTTCGGATTCAGGTCCAAAGTAATTTTCAGCAATTTCTTTAGCTTCAGTATTCTTCTTCCTGTAGAAATATCGTATAATATCTTCCATGTTGCAGCGAGAAGTGTGAAGGCGATCTCTGAGAATTTTATCGATTTCGTTAAATCCATATCGAGGCCACAGTGCTTCGTCTGCAATAAACGTACAATTTCACTAAATTCATCGAGCTTTCTTAATTTAGAATGAATTAATAAGAGCAGCATTAAAGGGCAGCATAGATGACATATGCACACATTGCAATTAAATACAAATTCTAAATATTTACTATTAGCTCAAAATAATTCATACTATTCCTGTTTTATTTTAATGAGGATGCGCTTTTTTGGGGTTATCCTCTTGTGATAACAATAAGGGGTTTAATATCGTGCTATATTCCAAAGGTGCAGTTCAGGTTAAGTTAGGTTACTTGAATATGGCAAAACTCCCGACAGCTATCTGCTTAAGGAGAGGGATGCCTCCATGGAGCACTTTATATGAGAAAGTGGCTCATATTCGCGTTACATAGGGGAAAAACTATGAAAACCAACGATGCTACGAGCTCATTCTTGTGGATTAGAATCCGAGCAGAACTACCAGTTTTCAGTCTTAGCCACTCGGTCACCGATGAGGCATTTTCTATTGGTGCAAAATTTAATTCTTTTAGTGAATTAGTAATTCTTTTTTATTATATTCTGTATAAATATTTAACAGACTGTTTTTGCTCATACGTTGTATAAATGGAAGAAATTTCTAATCGCTGTGCAAATAATATTTCTAAAAAGCAAAACTCAAATTTGCTGAGTAATTAATACATTTAAAATTTTTAAAATATGGTGCTTTTGATTACCTTAATTAATAAAAGATCTTAAAAACTTCATTCGTTTACTACGACTGTCAACTTTCATTATTGACTGCCAAGTTTGTGTTTTTGGTGTAAACATATTGTTGCGTGCGTACGGGTTCGTTAGAAAATGAATGCACAAGTCCGATAAAAAATGAACAAAAATTTATTATTATCACAACAAAAATGCTTAAATTTTCTCAAATTATCATGCAGTATTACAATATCTCACAGTAGTTATCTTTTAACTACTCAAATGTCCAATAGAACGTAATTCAAAACAGCTAAAGAAAGCTAATCCGCGAATTCGCTACAATCAACAAGAGCAGTTTTCTAAACAACAACAAACTAAGCAACTACTACACAAACTGAGAGTGTTTCCTCCTTTTATAAGATTTTAAAATCACGCGCGCTAGAATTTTCCAGTACTTTCTCGAAATCAAAAAGAGATATTTATTTATTTAATGCACGCGCTCTTGTATTTTCAATTTTCTGGCTTAGCTTTCTTTTAATATTCGTCACGCGCTGCACTGCGCGAGAAATAAAACCATTTAATTTATAATTGAACTAACATTAGCTTTTTAAATACCAAATTCGTAACAATATATATGAAAAATAACTGTATTAACAAAGAAACTTTTCTACAGAATCTTGGACTGTGCTCCTTTTTTTTCCTCTCCCCAAGTCCTGTTATGCTACTTTAATGTGGCGGGGAGGTGTCACAGGACAGAAGGGAAGAAGTACGTCGGACGCGTAACTTCTGGCAGGCTACCCCTAGGCGTGAAAGCTATTCCAATATGCCCAGCTAAAGTATAACAGGTGAAGCTCTTTCAGTGGCTTACCTTCTTGGTGATCGGGAGTCACAATTCTGGAGCCCCAATGACCTTTTCTCTTTTCCTTTTTCTCTCATCTTTCACTTCTCCGTAGTGGTTTCCAGTTATGAAGGACAGGGCTCACTGCAAGGAACAGTTACTACTCTTTTGTTTTCTTTTCACCATGGTAAGTAAACTGCCTACGCATTTGCCGTGAGTAGAAACCCTAACGGCTGGAAAGGAGGATCCTGGTTAGTTGAGGAGTGAGATACTGTCCCCAACACGCTGCTTTGGCATCTGCTTCAGCCCGAAAGGGAGGCATTTAGCTATCTGCCCTAGTGTAGATCGGCTGGTCACTAGTCCTTCATGTCAGGGGCTTGGAGATAAGCTTCCGGAAGTTCCCGCTTTCGAGAAAGCGGTCTGTGGGGCTTTAGGCTGCATATAGGGCTGGCTAGTCTTGACACAGGATCTGCGCTCCTCGTTGGGCTCCATGGTGGATGGGACGGTAATGCCTGAATCTTTTCTGTTAACAGTATGGCATCTTTAAATTCTCCCAGTCACATGGAAACGAAAAATTCTGGAATTGTTAAGAGAGTATGTACTTCTACCATTGATAACGAGAGCATCAAATGTCCTAATTTCTTAGTGATCACTGGTCAACTAGAAAATTTATCGCCATTTCTCGTATATAAGCATATTGTGTCCTCAGCTGACAAGTCAAACAACATAAAAAAGCCACATTCAGGATCTCTGCTCATAGAGGCTATATCTTATGCACACTTCTCTTCTTTTTTGGGCAAGCGTTCTATTAGTGTGCCTCTATATAATTATTTGAACACATCCAGAGGTGTCATTTCAGAAACAGACTTCATATCAGTTTCTGAGGAAGTACTTTTAAATTAACTGGCTGAGTAAAACGTGTGTGGGACTCTCCGAATTAAAATCCATAGGGATGGGCAACTTGTTAATGCAATATACAAGTATGTTATCTTGACATTATCATTTACAGAGCTACTGAAGTCCATTAAGGCAAGTGACCTGAACTTTCGCATCAGACCTTACATGCCGAACCATCTGCGTTATTTTCAGTGTCAGCTGTTCGATCATGTAAAGGCAACTCTCATAGACTACCTGGCAATGAACTGCGAAAATCTGAAAGCGATCTTAAAAAAAATCATTCAGCAAAGTCTTGACAGAGTCTATTTAATAACCACAGTCCCAAATACCTATCTTCCGAAGTAACTTTATAAATTCAGCTACAATTTCATTTAATTTTTAATTAAATTATAATATTCTACAGAGATATTTGGCTAGGCTTAGCGATAATAGAATTCCCCACCAATTGAGTACAAATGGTGATAGTCATATAACAGGCGGTACAGCAACTCATCTGGTGGTAAGTAAGTAAGCACGTCGTGGAAACATGGTATGTGCTTGCCGTTCTATGACCGGTCATGAAAGTCAGGACTGCATTGCCAATCCAAAATGTGTAAATTGGCATGTCGACCATCAGTCATATTCACATATTCACGAACCTGAACTAACCAAAAAGAAGAGAAACAAATATAAAACAAATATTAAAGCTATAAAAAATCTTCTGTCTTGAAGCTAAGAAAATGTTTAGGCACTGGTCAACTAAGAATAAATACTTCTTATGCTGAAACTACCAAATTTTATCCGTCAATAAGTAAACAGCGATCTCATCTAAAAACAGAACTTCCAGCTGAAGCTATATCTAAGAGATTTTTTCTAATTTCATCGAATCTTTAGTAGAAATAGAGGGAGGTGGAGATCTTCCAAAGCAGGTCATGTCTCATATAACAAAGAAAGAGCATCGCAGTAATAAACGCACCTAATGGTCAATCTCGTATCGTGGAACAGTTGTAGCTTCCACCAAGGTCTTGACGGTATTAAACATAAACAGCTCATTAATAATTATCAACCTGTTTGTATTGAAGTACAAGAGACATTCCTTAAACCTTACAATCCTGCAAAACTTCGTAGATACTCAATTATAAGAAAGGATAACACTTTCAACGAACGTGCAAGCGGTGATGTAGGTCTACTTACCTCAATTAACTGTCCTTCAAGTGCACTTCCCTTGGATACACCTTTCTAAGCAGTTGTCGTACAGGTGAACATCCCGACACTAATTTCCGTTTATAGCACCTATTTTCCTCCACATGAGAGAGGATTAGAGAATTTATTAGGATTAGACAGTTTCCAAATTAGGGAGATTTAGACGATTTAATTGGCCAACTTCCAAAACCATTTAATTTCGTTGGTAATTTCAATTGTCACAATCCCCTGTGGGGTATTAGAGATATAAATCCATGGCTAAAGCAGATCAAACTACTCCCTGACTACTGTCTCTGTATATTCAATAATGCAGAAAATACTTACTTTCATCAGACAGCAAGCATCTTCCACTCGATTGACATTGCCATAGTCTCTCCGCATCTTCTATCACTCTTCTCCTTTTGTATTGGTAATAATCCATTTAACAGCTACCATTTCCCAATCATCGTAAACTTTAATAGGAAACAGAAGACCTTCTGTCTCCTGATCAATACATCTTTTGTTGAATAAAGCAGACTGGGATTCTTTTCACATCATGCCTATTTCACTGAAGAAATGGTGAATGATGTGAAAATTGATCATGCTGGGAGGATTCTTGCCGATACAATTGTTCAAGCAGCTGAAATATCTTTTCCGAATACCTGAGGCCTTGGTGGAATTCTGAATGCCAAGATGCCATCAGAAAACAAATGAAAGTTTTAAGCATTTTTCGGCGATCTCCTATTGAACCAAATCTCGTGAATTTCCAAAGAGCTAAAGCAAAAGTATGTCAGGTGCGTCGGAGGAGTTCGTGGATATCGTATGTATCTTCGATAAATTATCATTCCGAAATGTGAGAGACACTTTGCGTAAACTGGAATTCAGTTTTGACGATTTGTTACATTTTACTGGAATGCTATAGTTTAAAATATTTTCTTATAACTATTTACCTAAAACATTTTAATTGTTTCAAACTAGATTTAGAAAACATAATAAGGAAACAATATAATCATAAATTATTTCAGTTTTTAGAAAATATTGGCTTTTTACTATAAATTGCAATATGTGTTTTTATTCTCATTTTTATACAGCCTAACCTACACTGCTGGCCATTAAAATTGCAATACCATGAAGGAAATCAAACACAAAAAAGATATTTATTGTACTCAAAGTGTATGGCATGGAAACAAAATAATTAAATTTGTAAGCAGTTTGGGGGGGTTACAGGGGTGCGAAATTAGTAAAAACAGCTGCCACCCCTGGCAGCTAAAACGCCCTTACCCAGTTAGGCATGCAGTCGAATGGGGTTTAGATGACAGAAGCGGACAACTCATTCCATTCTGCTTCAAGTCTATACCACACGTCATCAACCGTATTATCAGGAGAAGGGTGGCGGACCAGTCTCTCAGCAACCCATGGCTAGATGTTTTCAATTTGTAACAGATCTGGAGACCGTGCAGGCCAAGACAGTAATCGAATACCCTGTGTATCGTTACGGGGCCCCTTCTTTTGAGCTATGGGGACACTCGTGTCCAGGTGGGCTGAAGGGAGCCTCCAATTCTTATCCTGTGCATCGAGGAAGGTAAGAACACGACGTGCAACATGCGGTCTTATTATTTTGTAGGAAGATGGCGTTTGGCAGGCCTCGAAGATACGGCACAAGCACTGGACGTAAGATGTCAGAAATATACCGATTATGCGTTCAAATTACCGTCGATCCGAACTACAGATGTGCGTGACTTGTACCCAATGGCTGCCCACACCATCACATCAGGTGCAGGGCCCCTATGCCGATATCGAATGCAAGCAGACGGCTTGCGGTCTCCTCGGAACCTCCAGATACGAATACGGCCATCAGATACAGAAACGGGACTCATCTGAAAAGATCGCATTTTGCCACTCCTGTAACCAGCTTTGTCTTTCGGCGCACCAGAGTCGCCGTCTCTCTCTATGTTGCATTGTCAAGGGAGGCCGAAGTAATGGTATCCGTGTTGTTGATAGTCCACGGTGCTGCAAACGTCGACGCACAGTACGAGCAAATAATGGGCGTGCTGCAAACATGCCCATTTCTTGACTAATGGTCCGTGATGTGGTTGTACGGTTTGCGAGAGGACAAACATATTTTGGGGCTACAAAATATGTTTGTCCTCTTAGGCGTTAAGATCCTGCATGCCGTTCAGTATGACCCTCAGAAACCCATTTGATTCCATATTTGCATGGCAGTAGTTGGATGTCGACTAGTGCGACAGGTGATATCACGGAACGATAATCCACACTCTCGATAGGCAACAATCCTGCCTGTATCGAATTCTGACACTTGCTCGTAAGCATTTATTATTATTATTCGAGGCATAAAACGATATTCTTAGCAAACTCCGATCTTACAAAGCGCTTTCCGAATGAGAAATCCTTGGATACGTTTTTGGTTATTCTGGCATGCAACGGGAGATGCACTACTCCTGCTCTTTCCAGATTTCTGAATGAGCCCACTTAGGGTCCTGACGTATGTAAATGTCCAAAAATGAAGTTTCTCCAGTTGAAATAGCTTTGTAAAAGAAGAATAAGAAATCCATTACACACCTTTTCTTTTATGCAGTGCTTCAGATGTCGTTTCTTCCTCCTGCGTCGTCTAAATGACTTGAAATACTAATAATTTGCATCTCCAAACTTCTTCCTTTCCTGTGATTTTTGACGTTCGTCAGATCATTTCTTCCTTGTATTGCAGTTTTAATAGTTAGCAGTGTTTATTCGAACTGCACGCGTGCAATTTTTAACAGACTTTTTAATCTTCGATTCAACCGTTGATTTGCCTCACATAACCTTGCAAGGTTTTGCGCTAGAAATTGCAATACAAACAAATAAACTTAAAACTACATTGAATGTGATTTCCCTGTTTTCTAGGAAAATTTGTTTTTCCTACCTAATAATGGCTTTCTTTTAAATGTTTAAATAATATTTTCGCAATTCTTTACGTTTCTAACATTTTCGGGATATCAGTCAAGAAACTATGGAAGTTCATCGCGTTAATCCAATTTTACTTTATTTAATCATTCTCTATGATAGTAGTAATACTTCAGAATGTTGTACAGTCAGTTTTAATTTTTAAACTAAATATTAATAAATGTGTGAAGCTTTTGAAATTTTTATTTTTACGTTTAACACAATTTGATCTTTTACTTGTATCGTTTCTAAAATGACTTGCCATTGAGAACTGTAATTTCCTGTTAAGTTTCTCCATTAGATATGACATGAATAAATGATAAACTCGAATTTCTTTAAAGGGAATTATTTTAAGTGGTACGTTTTCTTCTAAAAAGGCGATTTAATAAATACAATTGTCTTAAAAATTATTTTAAAAGAATTTATCACTTAATTTTTACATTTAAAGTATAAATATAAACATTTAAAGAAATTTACATTTAAAGAAAATATAAACTTAGTTTTAACTTATAGCACTTATAATACTTAGATTACTTTTTCTTTCAGGACACAAAACAGCTTCAAAGCATCAACTGATCTATTTTAAGGGTCTTCTAAAAGCTACATCTCATATTGTAAAACAATTCAAGAATTTGAATGTTTACTTTAACATATACAATTGTCCCATATTCGGTCTAATGTAATAAATATTACCAACTAATTAGACTGGAATAATGGACCCACATTTCATTACAAGTAATTCATATGTATTGTTTCAATAACAGCTAAATTGAAATTATAAGCAACTTTTGCCTTTCTTCGTGCCTGCTATATTGGTGTATATGGTAACAGGTCTGACTGATTATCAGACAATCCGTGACTCGAATACCGGGTTTTCTATGTTTCGCAAGCCCAAAAAATGACAGCTGTATAGTAACATTTTTTAATTAACATACATTTATTTTTTTGAAATAATACACTTTTTATTATAATAAAAGAATTAGATATAAGTGGTATTTCAATAGGAAAATAACATGAATGAAGAAACATTTCTGCACCCTAAATTTCTTGATAGGTTTCTCAAAATGTTCTTTGATTTCTTTCAATATTTTAAAACCCCTTTCACTAGAAATCATGTCGCAAAAAATTACGGGTTTCTCAAAACGGTCTGTGCATCTAATACGAGCCAATCAGCGGCCGAGCGGTAAAATCGCTGAACAGTGGTAGTTTGGCCAGGGGTTAGAATTCCGCTAAACTTCCTGACGGATGAATGGACGTTTTTGTTGTTTTTCCCATGTGTGATCCCGTATCCGAGCCAGTTTTCCTTAGAAAGTCCTCCACGAAAGTCCTCACTTCCCTTAGGCAGGTAGCCCTCGAGTGTTTTGCTATAATCAAATTAACCAACCCAACTATTAAGATATATAAAAGTTTCAAATCAGCTTCCTGATTCCCTACCACTAGCAAATCGTGGCTCCATATCAGTGCCACGTGTGGACATGTTGAGCGTGACAGGAGGATTTTCTTTGCGAAATCTGAATCAGGTAACAACAGCTAGTCTGAGTAATATCTAAGACATGGATGAGACAAGACAATACCTAAAACAGTACTACTGCCATCTTTTACCATTTTGCCACCAAGAAGCAGTTGCCTTTGCGCAGCAGCTGACGATAATTTAATTTTCTACTAATTAGTCGCATAATTTAATTTGTTACTATTTTTTATTTTAGTTGTATTACCATGAGTTGAGGCTAATAAAGTCATATATTAGTTTTAACCTTGAGTTTTATTTAATGTCATATTATTTAAGTAGTAAGAGACGGAATAACTGACCAATCATTAATCATAACTTATTAAAGTCATACTAAGTTTGCGAAAAAGCAGTTCCCCAGATAGTACTAGAACATCTTAGAAGTTATAAAATAACAGAACTAATCCTTTCACCTGGAGTCATCTCTTGGTCCTGTATCTTATCCATAAGTGAACCAATAACTGTTTGAGTAATTTCGCAGTCTCCATCAGTAATAATATTCTTCATCCACTGTTGCACTGATTCTAAATGGCTGGAACGTCTCAGCGCATGAGCGCAAGCGATTTGAACAGCTTCATTTGTTCTGCATTTAGAAGAAACCTAAAAATTAAATTGTTTCAGACCATTTATCATTAGAAAATTACGATATTTTATTTCTGGTAATAGCATAAATATCTTGCTCATTTTATTTTCCATATTTTTGGTTAGAAAATAAAAGAACACAGTAAAATTTTATCAAGTTAAGGCTGAAATGTAAGCAAAAAATGTACGCTTTTGAAATTTCCTTCGTCTTTTTACACAAATATTAAAAAATTTTCCCACGAGAAATGGAAAGTTGCTTTGCGTAACTTTTGCAGATAAATGAAACCTTTCTAATTCTTTTTCTCTTTCGAAAAAAGTGTTTTCCAGATTCTCTTCATAAAATAGTCGATTTTCTTTTTAGAACGTATATCACATTAGAAGAACGTCGCTTTATTATCATAATATTTTACAGTTTTATGCGAATTTCTTAAATCTGCCTCGCAGTCGTATAGCTAAATAATTCAGGTATACACTTGCAGAGGTGATCGCCTGTTAGTGAAATATAAGTGATAACCCTTCAATTTATTTAAGAGATTTTGAATTCATTTAAGAATATATTCAAAACGTTCAGGAACGCTTTTGATATTTTCGTAAAGTTCTATAAAGACAGAATTTTGAATTTCTGATATCTAAAATAAAATGCTACTGCCCGTTGCTTCTCTAAATTCCAAAAATTTTGTCGCACCTAATTCTGCTGCCCATTGCTTACAATAAATTCTAAAAATTTTCCTTTACCTAAAATTTCCTTTTCGGTGCTTCTCTAAGTTCTAAAGTTTTTTCCATCCCTAAATTCTGCCGCCCGGTACTGCATCTTCGGTTACACCGGCTCTAGCACCGGTTCTGTTTTCATAAAGTAAATTAGAACTATCTAAACGCTGAAAAGCGTTTAGATATTTATTAATTTAGTTGACATGAAGCTGCGGATTCCATCTAGAATCATTGAACGAATGGAGATTTTTTTCCGTGAGCAGCTAACAAATGTTTCATTATTTTTATCAAACTCAGTCACGAAAAGTGAAAGAATACATAGCATAAGAAGAACCAATAGTTCTTCTATTGACGCTTTCTCGTTAACTTAATTTTAATTCACCATGTGTGTAAATTTCTAGCCATTTTTGTTGAGCCTCAGAATTATAAAGTTGTAAGATCTAACCATCATTTATTGTTTACTTTATCTTTGTAGAAACCCAAAATGTTACATTTGCATTATTTTAGATTTGACCGAATAGTACGAAATTAAAAAAGAAAATCACAGAGATTCCACTTGATTAAGTCGAATGCTTTAAACCTGCATACTGTTAAATAAGAAAATCTTACTGTCACGAAAACTGCACTGTTAAAAATTCACTATCCGGAAGTATCAGATTCGTGTGTTCTTCATTCTTTTATTACACCAATTAGAGAGATAGAATATGTGTCTGTTATCAATTTCATATTAATCTTGAATCTATCTATTGTTCTTGAATCTATCTATCTCTGAATTAATTTATTGTTAATATTATATAAAATAATAAGAAGTAAATTTATTTTTATGAGTAAATTTTCAAGAAAAGAAAGACTTTTATTTCATTTGCCGGATTAAGATTAAAAAAAAAAAAAAAAACACAAGAAAAAGATTTTATTTATTATGCACGTATTTTGAGATGCATTGATGATTCCATTACTTTAAACAATTTTAACAAAATATAGAAAATTCCCAAATTTATTTCAAACGCCTTATTTTTAATAATACCAATTCTTCACAAAATTTTATCGAATTTCTAGATCTTCAGATAGTTCACTACACACAGATTAAACTCTATGACAAAACCAGAAGCTTCAAATTAGCAAATAATAAATTAATTAATTGGATTTCATACACTTGCAGAAAAGTAATTAGTAACACAGTCAGTAGTCAAATACAAAGAATCAAAAATATTTGTACCGATGCATTCACATTTTCAATAATTAAAAAAAAATACTCTTTTTATGGATTTCTCAACTAGGCAATGATTAAAAACATAGAAATCATTTGTAACATAAGCGGTAAAAAAAATCAATTAAAATATCATTCTTACCTCTATGACATGGGCAATTGTATTTTCACATCCTAGATTTCCTATAGCTTCCAAAACATCTAAAATGAGAGGGTCGGATCGACATTCATTTTGTCTTTTCTTCAACAGTTCTGTTAAAGCTGCTGATACCTTGTTCTTTTCTGTCGGTTCGGCATTCGAACCGAGATGACCGAGGCTGAGGCAAAGAGAACTCAAAATGCCTTCATCCAAGCCTTCTTCCTTAATCAGTTCACTGAGAGAAGTCAAGAACGATGGAGATGGATGGCTGACATCCGAAATAATATCAGCAACAGTTTGCAAATCGATAGGGGATAGTGAAGTTTCACTTTTGAAGAAGGACAGAAGAACCTGGAAGAATAAGAATGTATTTTTGTTATTTATATAGATATTTGTGTTTATTTGTTTGCAATTTTGTTTTAATGTATTTCTGTAATGCTATTTACCTATATTTGTTGTTAATTTATTTAGTACATTTTGCATGACAATTTGTTTTATTGGTTATTTTGTTCAATCTTGAAATTTTGACACTTAGAGTGTAAGGATCTTAAGTTTTACTAACGTTTATTTTATTTTAAATCTTTACTATCACTTCTTATTTTCTACTTCCGGCCAGAATTAAAAGCTTTAACTTATTTATGCAAATTTGTCTGCGAACGCCAAGTACTTAAGTTGTGGCTTTTTGCCAAGCAAAGAGAGAGGAAGGAGTTAGTAGAAGGCAGGCCGCTTGCCTTAGCAGTTTTACTCGGTTGCTGGTTGCCTTCCAGGCCAGAGGTTTAATCCTCTTATAATTTTAAAACGTATCGTAGTGTAACAGTTCTCTGTACTACATACGGCTTCCTGTTAATATACGGCCAATCTTCTCGTAGGCAATTGTTTATATTTCCAAAGTTAAGTTTAGAGTTTAGTTAATATTTTATATTCTTACGTTCAGACCACAAGTGGTTGGTCTCTGTATTCCGAAGTCCGGAAATTATTGTAAAGATGAGAAAAAATAAAGGGTTTCGTATACCCTTCCTGTGTATTCTTGTCTACTTCCCACATTTATTGAACATAGCTTTAGTAAGCTCCCTGTTCCGAGTCAGGTCTTTGCATGTTCCCAAAGCAAGTAAGGAGAAACACTGAACCTGATAAGAGCATTTGTAAGTGGTTAATTCATATATTATTTTGTAAGTTGTCTAATTCTGAGCTGAATATCTTTGTAACTATATGGACATCTCACAGCATAAGAGCAAAGGATACAGCTCCGTGCCGGACACTGCCGACAATTTCTGTCTCTTAATGGGCAACATTTGGCGATTTTCCACCAAGTAGATAACATTCTGTTTGTTATTAAAGAACGCGTTTTTGAAACCTAGGACCAATTTTTCTGGACTGCTTTCCAGTGAATAACACAAGTGAATGTGACACTATGAATGTGAACAGCAAATATTACACAGGAACTTTGCAAATATGTGAACAGCACATATGATGTACTTTAATATACTCAGTTGATATTGTTCAGTGTAATGCATCAAAATAACTTCTTCTTTCCAAGTTACGACTGACTTCTAGAGTAAACATTTCTGTAAACTCAGAATCGCAATGCATAAAACATTGCTAAAATCCTCATTCACATCTAGTCAAAGCACTAGCATTCATTCACATCTAGTCACACCTCATTCACATCTAGCACAGTCAAAGTCTTGACAGGGTCTGTTTAATAACCACAGGTCACAAATACCCATCTTCCGAAGTAACTTTATAAATTCCGCTACAAATTTAATATTTGATAGAGATTTTTGGCTAGGCTTAGAACAATAGAATGCTCCACTAATTGAGTACAAATGCTGATAGTCATATAACAGGCGGTACATCAACTCAGCTGGTGGTTAGTAAGTACTTCTGTCCCTTACCCTTGAGCACAGCCGTAAACACGAGGCTCTGATGAGTAGCTATGAGCCAATTGATCAAAGAATCTCAGAGAGTAGTTCTTGAGCTTACTGCTTAGTGCTACTTCAGATTTGTTCTGCAAGCGAACATGCATTATGTGATGTTCCTTATGAGAACACGTTAAATACAACAATATATATACTTACACATACATATAAAAAGAAACATAGTAATAGGCCAAAAGTTTAAAAAAGAACTTTTAACCACTCCTACGCTATCGCTGCAGGATTGAAGTAGGTTAAACTTAAAGCATCTAAAGTTAAAATTAAATTGGAATCAAAGCAAGGCATTCCTCAACAATGTTAATAATTGCAACCGTGGATAAGAGGTTAAACACTGTATCTAAAGATATCAAAATTAAAATAAGAATTCATCAGTAGCACAAACTCGAAAAAAAAAAAAAATAAATAAAAATAAAAAATAAATAAAAAATAAAAATCTAAAAGACTTTAGATTTTAAATTACGTCCAAAGGGGCGTTCCCCCCCCCCTACTTAAACCATAAAATTCAAATTCAACAGCAATGTCGCAAAATAATTTTAAATTGAGCATATCTTTAGAATTTCCGATACACAGATCCGCGCGCTGGACATAAAAAGGCTCTTTCTCCCCGTAGAATGTTGCTATTGCGCGCTTTTAAATCGCTGAGTTTGTTAATCAAAAATTCATTGAAGTTTTACAAAATATGAAATCGATAATAATAAAACAAATTCCAAATTTCAAATTTGGCTATCAGATGCCCATATTCACAGTAGGATTACGTCATTCAAAACTGGATGGCTCTAGGTACCGTTGTTTTATCACAATGCGGGAAACATACATACATTTATGCAGATTCTTCATTATTTAATTTCTTCAAATATAATACAGGACGATATTCTTTGGTGGCAACGATTTGAAAAGTGATACGCCGTTTATAGGGTTTAGACGCAAAATCCCAAAACGAAAACCATAGTCCTTCAAGGACAAAGCCCCTTTGGACTAAAAATGCGAAAAGGAAAAAATATACAAAATTATAAGATTATAAAAGTATAAAAATTAATCTCCTTTTACTGAAACTCTATAGCAGTGGGAAATGAATTAAAGTTTCACAAAAGTTGATTAATATGTTTAGAAAACTTGTTTCGTTCTTCTAGTGGAATTGAGATCAAAAACTAAGAAAGATTTAAATAAATTTTCATTTAAGACATCAAAGTTCATATAAAATCGAAACTTAAATGTATCCAGAATTTATATATATATATACATAATATATATGTATTAATTTACTGTATAGGAGGAATTAGCTTGCAGTCGCGACGAAGATGTTCATACCAAAACAAGTTCAGCTAATTACCATCTTTATTTCCAGGTACATTAGAATAATCTTTCGTAGACAATATATTTTTTGTCCTAAACAATTACAAAAATTTCTTGTATACACACATTAACGGGGCGATATCATTTTAGACGAACAAGCAAAGCAGCGTGGATCTTGACGTGGCGGAAGCTAGGAGAAGAATGACTCAGTTTATTTGCAAGAGGTATTTATACTAAGTACATGCAGAAAATAATCTAAGCTATGATTGGTTAATTTGAGGTTGTTATATAATCATGGAAGGATCTCGAATTTGGGAGAACAAATAAATTTAGGGAGAGCACCAAATTTAGAATCGTTAATTTTGAGGTCGGCAATTATTTTTAAAGAAAAACAATATTTCCAAATTCCCACAAAAACAGGATTTCATCAATAAACACTAAACTGATGTCATATGATTTGGTATCTGGTACTTAAAACATTATACAGAGGATTCTCCATTTTTGCGGTTTTGCAGCTGAGGATGGTGGTTCGGTAAAACCATCGAAACTAGTCCTGTGGAAATTTTGTAAATATAAAGCTGATTTTTGTTGTTTGTCTTCTGAATTAGTACTTATTTGGCGTGTTAATTTGTCTTAATTATACAGAGGATGTTTACACATTTTTAGAATGATTTCGAGGCCGTTTAATTAATGTTTAAAATGCAAACAATATTTTTTTTTAATATTTAGTCTGATAGCCTTTATTCTGGACTATAAGTCGGCGTCGTAATTTTTTCAAGATAGAAGGCTTTTGCAAAATTTTCAAAAGTAATGATTTCTGTTCCTTTTCCACTACTTTCTAGATACCATCAATCGTGGTGGGTTTGCGCTTAGAAAGAGCTCTTTTCGAGAAACAAAGACACAGCGACATAAAAGAGTACATTTTAATGTAACAGACGATATTTGTCATTTCAAATAATAAGCTGTTTCCTGAAACTTTTATTCTAAAACACTTGCTTAAAAAATTAATAATCGAAATCCTTTCTAAAAATGTGTGTAAATACCTGTAATTAATAATACTGAATACTGAAACTCAAAATCCAGTCTTGCTTTCAGGGAATACACATTTAGTATACAATTGGATTTGTTAGTATGCAGATATGGAAAAGTAGCTAGAAATTCGCTGACATATTTAACTATTCCTAGTATAAAACGAAAATACTGTTGCGTAATTGATGTTAACTTAAAATCTATTTTCACTCCTCAACATAATGAAATAAATGAAAACCTTAACAATATTTTTATTTTGGGAAAACTAATTACATTAAGCTGCAAATAATTATGTTTAAAATTATTATAATAAACATTTCAATAGCCATTTCTACAAGATTCTTTTTACTTCAATTATTATGAAAAATGGCAACAATTTCAAAATTAAAATTTTTAGAGTACAGATGCTTCAAATTTAAAAAATACGTGTAAGATCAATGACATTTTTACGAATACGTTCGTTTTATGAGTGGTTTGATCTATTTTTCTTAAATATGTGTACGATTCGCTTTCGATGGATTGCTAAGAAACAGAAAATTACGATACGTATGGCTAGATCGATACTTTTAATTTTCTGTTAAAGTATTGTCTTCTTACTTTGACCATAGCAACCAATACTTTCAAACGCCTAGCAACGGGAATAAAGTCAGCTTTCTCCAACGGACTAGTCTCGAAGCAGAGCATGCGCAATACAACTCCTTGCGCTTGCCTCATGCATCCGCTGTTTAATATCACGCAAATGAAAAAGTAGCATATTCGCGATTCTGCTGCTAAGCTATCTTGGCAGATTCATTTAAAAAAGGAATACCTGTTAAAATTAACATTGGAGCACTTGGATGATAAGTATTTAAGTCGTTTTTATCGCAGGCATCAAATCTAATCGGTATTCATTATGTCCATTAGGACTAGCGCTTTCAGAACTCCAGGTTTCCCGCATTCAAAGTTTCTTCAGCATTCACCACTAGACTGGAAGTTCAATAACACTTTTCAGTACAACCTTGCTGACGGAAACTGTTCCAAGTCTGAAGCCGTCGTAGCAGAAAGTGAAAGACTGTGCAAAGAAACAACTCAGCGCACCGAGAAACATAAATCCCAAGTTGAAAGAAAGTTTGATCAGCGGATTGCAGATGTCGATTATTGGCGCAATGAAGGGGATAAAGTCATCATCAAGCTTCAGGAGTGGTTGGACAACTTTACACACTTGAAAACTAGGTTAAAAAAGGCAGCAGAAAGTTGCAGAGATCCAATTTCTACCTGTAAAAAGGCCATGATGGAAAGGGATAAGCGGCTTGGAGTGGATATGGTACAAGACAAACCGCAACTAGAAATCCAGAAATATCTCACATACTTAGAGGAAATTGTACCAATCTTTGAGAAAACCATCCAGGAAATCGAAGATCAAATGATCTGCGACCGAGCAGCAAAGCAAAGACTTCTAAGAGATGTAACAGACAAACAAGCAGCAATTGAAATCGACACCCATGCCTCAAACTGTAGGCCAGAGAATTCAGCTTCTAGAAGTTTTAAGTTTGATCCAAGTCTAATGAATCCAGAGAAAGCGGCGTTGACATTAGCCGAATGGGAACGTTCAACAAGGCATAACATTGAAAAAGCTGAGCAAATGATTAAGATTTCAAGCGAATTCGTTCCAAGAGTGGAAGTAAGTTGCATAATTTGTTAAATTTTCAAACAAATATGCAAATTTTATATAAGAAGTTTAAAAGAAAATTTATAAATTATATAGACTCTAAACGAAGATAAAGCTACTTATTATTATTGTATATTTTAGTTACTGAGATTTAAAAGAGTTATTTCTGGATAACAATGCCTTTTAAAAATGTCAAACTTCTTTTTATGGTGTCTTATGGTAATTTTTTTTAACCACCTGCCAAATTTGGCGATTGTTTGTCTGGCATCGTAACCACGCGGTTTTGATAAAATTTTGTTTCGTATGACAACCCATTTAATCAGTTTACTCCCCCATTTCTGTATATTTCTGTCATTTTTTCTGTCTTTTTGGGAAAAAAAAAAAAAAAAAAAAAAAAAAAAAAAAAAGAACGAGCGAGAGAGAATTTATTACAGTAATGTATTATTCCATCGAACGGCCAAGGGTGCTACTTTGGTAGACGGTTGCACGGATTTTGGCGATTTTTTTGGGGGGGAGGCGAGCGATACGACTTATGGTAAACCCATTGTTAGACAAGTTATTTATAGTAACAGATACTTCGCTGTCATTTTATTTAAAAAAATAAGGCGTTTTATTATGCATAAATTCCGTGTTTTAAATATTATTTACGGCTTCTAAATATTAAAAATCAATTTAATTTTGCATTTTTATTTGAAATAAAAATTTTATTGTTTATGATATTTTATGTAATTTTATGTTGCGGATAATAAAATGAATGACGTCACATTACTTTAAAAGTAATTGGTTTCAATATCTATAAATTTAATGTAATGTTTTAAACATTATTTATGGCTGTTAAATATTAAAATACAATTTAATTTTGCATTTTTTTAAAATGATTTTATTATGTACGATTATTTAAATATTTTAATTCTATTCGTGATGTAATTAGCTCCCTGATTAGTTACTGAATATTTGTGCATTGCCGCCCCATTTTAAAATTTTATTATTCATCTCTTCGAATTCCTTAGATTACATTTTTAAAATTTCTTCTGGTAGTAAATTTTAAGAAAAAGAAATTACTTAGTTGTTTGATTCTCTTCCATAAAATCGACTCTACACAAATAAGATATTTGTGAACTACAGAACTAATAATTTTAAGGTGCAAAATGAAATCCATAAAACTTCAGTTATCATCAGTTTCAGTACTTTTCCGTTGTGCATCTGCCACGCTTTTTGGAACCTATGATAGTGAAGCCAAACATATGCTAGGCTTGAACTACAGCGTCATCGTTTGGTGCGTATGTGCGTTCAATTGTAAACACACACCCATAATAGAAATTGTTTACAGCTAAAAAATTCGCCAGAATGCGTAGCAGATGCAAACGGAAAAGTACCGCAGTACCTATACTAATATGGGTGTCCGCGGATAACATCGCGGCAAAATCATCGCGGGCGAAAACGTCGCTGAGACAATAACGCAAGGCGAAAACGTCGTGCTACAAAACATCGTGGAAGAAAACATCCCACTTCTTCACCGTGGTACAAAATATCGTCGTCGAAAATAAAGCGGTTCAAAAACTTCGCAGTTTAAAAACATTGTCGTTGAAAATATCGCGGTAAAAAATAAAGTATCGACAAATCATCGCAGGACGATAACATCGCAGACCTGCTTTTTTCAGGCTTTAATAATTTTAAATGGATATTCCCATAATGATTTGTAAATGCGAGATGGAAAGAAAGATAATTTTTACTTTCATATTTTTTATTAACTAATAATTTTTTGCTGAAAAAGTAAGAAGGAAACTTAAGAATAAACTGAAGCAGAACAAGAAATAATTTTCATTATAAGAGTATTAGATTAACAAAAGTGAAGAAAATAATCTCATAATTAGCAATTTTTTATAGATAAGGTCATGCAGTTGCATAGCTTCCTTTTTCTAAATATTTTTAGATTATACTTTTAATGAAAAATTACCAGTAAAAACTTTATAAAAAATGATTTATTAATGACCTTTGTTAGTTAACTATGTCAGTTTAAATTCTATTAAGTGCTATAAGTTGCCTTAATTTTCTATGCTTAAATTTCCTTGCTTAATTTTCCTTTTTTACTTTTTCAGCAAAAATTTATTAGTTAATAAAAAATATGAAAGTAAAGATTAATCCTTCTTTTCCCATCTTCCACTTCCATCTTGCTCTCACAAATCATTATGGAAATATCCATTTACAATTACTAAAGCCTGAAAAAAGCATGTCTGCGATGCTATCGTCATGCCATGATTTGTAGATACTTTATTTTTTACCACGATATTTTCGACGACGATGTTTTTAAACTGCGAAATTTTTGAACCGCTTTATTTTGGACGACGATATTTTGTATCACGATGTTTTAGAACTGAGATGTTTTCTCTTTGCGATGTTTTCTCCCACGATGTTTTGTATCACGACGTTTTCGCCCACGATGTTTTGTATCACGGTGTTTTCGCCTTGCGTTGTTTTCTCCGCGACGTTTTCGTCCGCGATGTTTTTGCCGCGATGTTTTCGGCTGTAACCCTGATATGTAAGAGTTAGTAAAGGTATTTACTTCCAAACTTCGATCTATAATTTTTAGAATTTTTTTCGTTAACGGAATTATTTCTAATACCTGCTTTCAAAACTTTTCTCTTTTGGAGGCCGTTCTAGTCTGTCATGAAATCTAATCAAATATAAAAGATTCTTATAAATCCCAATAAAATTTTGTAAAATTATGTTTTAAATTAACTTGTTAACTATGTAAGATACCTGAAGTAGGTACCAGCATCAAATGCATAAAATTTATTATTAGCTTGTTTAACTGAATTTAAAGCTGTTTCTTTAAACAAGCAAATACTCACAAGAAATTAATATCTATACATTTAACAACTTCATGAACTTGTATACGATGATCAGTGGTATTATAGTTGTTTTGATTTTTAAATTTCTTTGTAGAAAAATGATTAGGGACAGGAGTTCAAACAATTTAATGACCTGTTGATGGGTGATTTATTTATTTTTTTTTTATTATTAGATTTTAAATAAAATATACTTGAAATATAACAAAAGAAATAGCTGAGCAGTTTTTCATAATGAAAATCCAGCCATTTGATGAGTTAATTTTCTTGACTAATAAGTAATTTAACAGTGTGTACATACACATGCAATAACATAAAACTATGATACATTTCATAAATATATAAGTAAAATATAAAAATGTTTCATTCTCTTTTATTATATTTTATCTGAAACTGTACTTAAGGATTAGAGCATCCAGCTTAGAACAAGTTACCAAATTTTCAGGAAATCATGTGCACAACAACTCTTCAGTTTTAACAAGCAACGTCACCATTTTGGTATGAGCTCTTTTCAATGTATTCCAGCTTTCAACAATTTTTATATATAAACTGCAATATTTTTTAGCTCAATTCTAAAACATCCACTTGTGGGACTTGCTTACAATAGAAAAAACTACGGTAAAATTTCTGAAAGAATTTGTTATAAAATTCAGTCAGTATCTTGCTGCAAAATCGCTACATGGAACAATTGCTTTGAATCTAGTGTAGAGCTATTATGTATTTTTCAAGCAAGAACCATGAAAAATTAGCAATGCCCTCGCTGGGACTCGAACCTCGGACCTCTCGAATACGCGTCAAGCGTGCTGACCATTACACCACAAAGGCATGCTAAGAAGGCAGGAGAAATATTTTATATACCTCCCCCTTTTAAAGGGCGACTGGGGATTAGGGAACCCAGTCGCCGAATCCTGGTGGTGGATAATCATCATTCACCACCTTTTTAGTCTGGGCACCACTGTGGAGACATTAGGTTATTTCGAAGCAGGAAGACGTGAAAAATGTGCAGTGCCCTAGCCAGGACTCGAATCTTGGACTTCTCGAGTACGGGCCGAGTGTGCTGACCATTACACCACGAAGGCATGCTAAGAAGGCGGGAGAAATATCGAAGCAGGAAGACGTGAAAAATGTGCAGTGCCCTAGCCAGGACTCGAATCTTGGACTTCTCGAGTACGGGCCGAGTGTGCTGACCATTACACCACGAAGGCATGCTAAGAAGGCGGGAGAAATATCTTATACTATTATTCAAACGATCCAAAAATTTTCCAACAGAACAAAGTAATCTGTAAGTAGATTAATAGATGGATTTTCAAGATAAATACCTAATTAAAATGTAAAATGTGCATGCAGTAATAAGCATGTTTGTAATTAATAATTCTATGCGATTACAAGCCACCATTCTTTATAGATTTGTCAATGATACAAGGTTTAAATGAAAGTCTGTGGGCCTATTTCAGATATTTCTAATTTCAAACTGGAATTACATGATGACCGTTTGTTTGATCACTACTTTAAAAAAAATTAAAACTACATCTTTCAATTTACAATCCTATTTGAAAAATCCAAAGAAATGTGCTTCCTTATTAATACGACTTCTGCGTTTAGTCGTCAAACCTGGAGAACGAAATCGCCCACTCTCTAATGTGCAAATTTTAAAAATCTCCGACATCTTATGTGGTGTGAACAAGTTAATACTGAAAAAAAAATTTCTTTTTTATTTCCTAAAAAAGCTTGGGAAGCCATATTAGTATCATTACGAAAATTTATTTCCACTCCTCACCAATAAAATTCTTTCTTCGATACTTAAAAACCCTACTTTAGATATCAGCTTCTGGGATATCTACAGTATTTCTTGCCAGTGTGGCTTAATATATATTTCTCAAACAAGGGCAGCATTGAAATTTTACACTAAGGAACATAAGTCATTGTTAGGAAAATGAAACTAATAAATCCTTCATTATTCAATATTACTGGTAAAGATTCCATTTTTCTTTTGCCTGAAGCCAAAATTATTCAGAAACAAATCTCTCACTACCGAATTAAATTGTTAAAGGTGTTTCATATTCATAAAACTCTTTCAATTTTGGTTAATAATCCCAGTTATAATTTTTGTTTTACTTTCAACTTTCCAAAAAAATTATTTCATAGTTGCTTTCCATCCACGCTTTTGTCAACGGATGACATCAGTGGCTTTGCTTCTCTCTTTTAGCTGAACCATTCTTGAATTTTTTGTTTGCTATTGTCATATCAGGGCAAGTTTCTTTCTCCCCACTTACACTTCTGCAGCTAAAGGTTAGGTTAGGTTATTTAATAACAGCAAAGGGGAGGGATGCCTAAGGGGAGGACTTTCTATTCTGCAGCTAAAGAAAAGGTTCTGTTTGACGTTCAAAACTATAGTACTGTAAATTATTTTACGCTGATTCTTGTTGCTAGTTATTAGTACCATTCATAGTATTACGTTACATGCGCTACAAGATATGAAAGTACAGAGATGGAAATGTTATTTGGTTAAATATAAAATGTTAAGGCTGAAGTATATTATTAGTTTAAAATCACAAATTTATTCATTTTTTTCCTGTATGAGATACGTTAATTTTATCTATGTTCAAATGTTTTTTCTATAATTATGTTTATGGTGTTTTTTATCTAGGAAATGTTAGAACAAACATACCGCGACCTCATCGGACAAAGACAAGCCGTCATACATGCCCTGACTGATCGCATCAAAGAGCTATCGAATGCTCAGAAAAGTCTAGAAGAGAGGCTGTCGCGTGTTCAGAAACAAATCCTTGATGTCGAAGACACTTTGTTGAAACTGGATCAGGCGATGGACCAAAAGCTACCTGCATTGGAACTGGCCGCTAACAGAATGGAAGAACGCAGACAAAGACCGCGATATGAGCTATGTCGAGACATGGTGGATTTCGAGCTCGAAGAGGAAGTCAGAAATTTGAGCCTGTCTCTACATCAGCTGAGAGACCAGGGTAAAGAAGCTAAAGAAATGCTGAGAAAGTTAGAACAAACAAGACTGGCCCTCCAGAAAGACATAGAAGTCAAGAAAAACAGCATTCACATTGATCAAGAAAAATGTCTAAATGCATTTACAAACGTATCTCATATACGTCACTGAAGCGTCAGGAAATAATTCTAGTATTTATCAGATGAGTACATTTACTTTTAAAGAAAACTTCTTGATTTACAAAAACGTGCTATAGCATAAAATTAGTTATAACAAATTAGTCGTTCACTTAGTGCTATGTGTCTATTAAGGTGAAGCACATGTTTGTTGGTGTTATGTTATGTTAAATGTACCTGTAGATGTAAACATAATATTTGATCACTAAAATTTGACACACTCTGCCACTCTTATGATGGTATTATTATTATTTTTTCTTTTCTAGATGATTACACTGATTTTCCGTGGAAGTATGATTTTTAACTGCAATACATTTCTAGTTTTCTTTATTGTTACTAGCTGAGGTTTATATAGAATTTTGCACGTAAGAGAAGTATAAAGTATTAAACTATACATACTCAAAATATTATCGTTCTAAAATGCTATCTCTTTGAAAAGTGAGGTCTGTTCTTAAAGTTTAGAACGTTCTGTTAACCGTCAAACTTGTTGACGGTTGAGAGAACAATTCGATTGTATTTTACCGATGGACAAAATTAGAATCTCAAGTACTCAAGCAAATTCTATTTAAAATACATGTGAAGTGGTATGCAAAAATAATCGCATTTATTTTTAACAAGGATATTATACTTTACATTCTGATATTTTAATCTACTTCAATATTTTCTTTAACAGGATTGATACAGTTTTTCCAGTGTCTTTCTCACTGCGGAAACACAGAAACGGTTTTGGAACACTGTAAGCGAAATATTATTTACAGCACCCAAAGATTTTCTTGCATCTCATCCACATCAATGACTTTTCCCCTCGCCTTTTCACAGAACTGCTTTTTAGGAGTTTGCTTTAAACAGAAAAAAGTGTAAAAACAGAAAAGGTAGGTCTGAACAAGAAGATTTGGTTAGTAGTGTGTGTGAGACAAAAATACCATGTTATTTTCCTATAAAAGTTGTCGGATGGAAAACCTTTCTTCAAAATTATGGTCATTAGTCTTTTGATGAGCTTCATTAATAGCCTGTCGCATATTTTCTTTTCTCATTTTTTGCTCATCATTAGGTGTCGTATCAGTCTTCATTTAATATTGAATCTGAAAGAAATCACTTGTAATTCACTCAGTCACTCTTAAAATTTTCCTCAAGCATAACAACAGACATATTAAAACTCTTGTAACACTTTTGTTGTTTTCAATCATTATACCAAGTATGTTTAAAATAGATGGCCATCGACTATATTCAGTCAACTATTGTAATCTTAGATATATGTTTCGAAAAACACATTTTTGAAAAGCAGGCACTTCCATCTGCAGAGCTTCTGTTTTTACGAAAACAGTTTCAACACTGTAAATATAATGGTTTTGTAAAATTTAACTTTTTATACGGATTCCGTTAGAGTAAAAGTTCTGTTTGTAAAATACAGTAAACGCTCTGGAGGCATATCACCCCTCATAAGTGATAAATATCAGAAGATGATCTTTTTAAGGTGACCCAAACCATCTAGAGCAAGGATTCCCAACCCTATGCCCACGGGCACCATGGCGCCCGCCTATCTTTTAACTTTTGTCCACCGCTGTTCGATCACAATAGAAGTGTTTCAGCTTTCAATAAAATTCTATGTGAAAGTTTTCTCATTCTTAATGAAATGGAAATTGCGTCCAATACAGAAACAGCGCAAAGCGAAATGCGACCGATCTCTCTCTCTCTTTTTTTTTTTTTTTTTTTTTTTTTTTGTTTTTAATTCTTAACTCTATCCAACCATGAATTCACCTTGAAAACGTAAATGGTGCTCGCCGTCCATTCCAGATATTCTGGAATGTGCTCTTAGGGACAAAAAGGTTGGGAGCTCCTGATCTGGAGAGTTTTCTGTTCACTTAGTGCTATGTGAAACAGCGCAAAGCGAAATGCGACCGATCTCTCTCTCTCTCTCTCTTTTTTTTTTTTTTTTTTTAAATACTTAACTCTATCCAACCATGAATTCACCTTGAAAACGTAAATGATGCTCGCCGTCCATTCCAGATATTCTGGAATGTGCTCTTAGGGACAAAAAGGTTGGGAGCTCCTGATCTGGAGAGTTTTCTGTATTTTTAATGTTTTAATAAGAAAGTAGAAAATAATACGTTGCAGGCTTTTACACGCAAAAGTTTTCGAGAAAAAATTTACCGATTTACTTTTTTTTTTTTTTTTTTAAGTACCGACACAAATTTATCACTTCTGCGAAAAGGTCCAGGAAGAGGGCTATTCGTTTTCGATGATTAACTGTTCAGTCTCAAGGAAGAGAATGCTAGCCATTAAATTTGTATGTGACTTTTAGAGAGTGTTTATTTAGTATACCTTTGTAAAATAGTATGTTTCTTTTATTTTTATCTCAATTTAACGTAATAACGAATATTTTATTAAAAGGAATTTTTGCTCCATATAGATTACTTAAAAAGATTCTAATTTTGACAAAACCCCATTTATTACGCTGATACCACTTTCATCAAATTTTGTAACACAAGAAATTTTGTAGACGTACATGATCCAGATCGATATTTAAGGATGAAAAGCCTACAAACATAAAAAAGCCTGCGTAAAATTTAATGCTAAGAATCGGCAATAGAGGCTTCTGACCTTACGCAGCTATGATTTCGCCAAACTCGTGAAAAGCGAATGTAAAAATAAAACGATAAATTATAATATAATAATAACAATAATACTCAGATGTTTGCAAAGAATATTTTTAATAATCGTTAAAGTGATTGTAACCAGCTTCTTCAAGTTGCTCTGTTTTATATCCTTTCCAGCAGTCGGAATAGATCTTGATTCATCTTGCACATGTTGAATAATTTTCTCTAATAGTGCATAGCATCTGTATTCGAGATATGAACGACAAACTCTCCCATTTTACCAGTATATTCCTCCAAAAGTCCATTGTTGTGGGAGTACTCTGCCGCTGATGTTCTTACATTGGATGAGCAAACTGTCATCGATTTCAACAATTTTATTGGGTGTGTGTGTGTGTGATTATGGCAAAGCCTCGAGGGCTATCTGTCTAAGAGGAGGGATGCCTTCGTGGAGGACTTTCTAAGGGAAACTGGCTCGTATACACGTTACACATGGGGAAAACCACGAAAACGCCCATGCAGCCAGCCCGTTCGCAGGATTCGAACCTCGGACCGAACTACCAGTGTTCAGCGACTTTACCGCTCGGCCGCTGGTGGGCCAATTTTATTGGGACTCCCTATTTGTCCATTGAATCTTTGAATCAGATATAGGAAACCCATTTCGCGCATGTAATTATTCCAATCAGTTGCAGCACTTTCACTCATATTTAAGCTGTTTGTCACATCATTTGATCAACGTCAGTTCTTCTGCCCAAGGATGCATAAACTTAATAGCAATCATCAACGATATTCTGGGACTACTAAACAGGTTTCCAACACGGAGGCCCCCTTTTTTCATGATTTTTAACATTATACCTCCAAATGATTTCGTCATTAACTTAGTGTCCTGTTGGGGCTATTTTTGCATTCTGTCAGGTATTAGACCTCTTTCTTGAAAAAATGATATGATATCCACTTCTTTTATTTGGTAAATTAAAGATTGTTAATCGCGTATTCACAAAAAAGCAAGGAATATTTTTAGAAAACCAATGGAAATTCGAAAATCTTAGCAAAAATGATGCTAATGGAAGAACATGCGGCGCTATATCTAGGTTTATTAGCGATTCAGTCTCGGGGGGGGGGCTTTTGCAATAAGGAAATACTTAAGAATCTTAATGTATTCGAGATTATTTTGGAAATTTTTGTCACGTCATATCAGTACTTTTTTAACTAAATCTAAATTTTAATGTTAAGCTTTTATGTAAGACTAGCAGCTACGCGGCTAACCTTCGTCTGGCTTTTGAATGTAAAGGAAAAATGCCAAACATTAAGTTTAAAAACTGCGCAGAATTTTACTCTGCAGAACTACTTCATAAAAAGATAAAAAACCACAGATTTTTAAAAAAATGCATTGCATATAACAAAATTACAATGAAATAAGCAATATCCCTTAATACAAATATTAATTATCCTAATAAATAAATTAATCAACTTCCTGTTCTTTCAACAAACGTTCAGTATCCAAGAGAAACATTAACATCTGCACAAAATCATCGCTCTCATTTTTCAAAGTGGCAACTGTGCTTAGTTTCAACAGCCAGCTGTCCAGTATACAACTGAATGAAAAACTGTTGCCAAAACCGCATTTCTAAAAGACTAAAACTATTCAAAATGATGCGATAAAATCGAAAAGATAAAATTAAAAAATCTAATTCGAATTTTGAAAAAAAAAAAATCGCTTCGATGTGCACTAACTCTTGTCTAGATGCACTTATACACCAAATTTCGTAGCCCTGGGTCTATTAGCTTACGCGCAGCACGAACGAAAGACACACAAACTCTTTCTTTTACTATATGTAGAGGTTTTTAAAAGTATAAGACTATTTCTGTGAAATGTTTTACATCATTTTATGTTCAGTTTTCCAAAAATTAGCACAATTATTATTTATTCAAACATACAGAATAATACATAATGATGTCACACGAGATCTACCGCTTTTGATTAGACATTTATATTTTCGACATCAGAACTAAAATTGGTTGTTGTTTTAATCATTTCCTTTTCCAGCCATTTTATCGTACATTGGATTGTTAAAAGCTATTGCGCCAATCCTGCCGTTGCTACTAAAAAACCTGAACTGCACTGAAGGATTCTGAAGTTAAAGATTCTGTACAACATGCTTTAATAATAAAAGTAATGACTATTTTTTGTATATGGCTCAATGACTCATAAAATGATCTTTAATGGTCACTCCCATTTTTGTTTTGTAAAATTTAATGGAATTTAAATTTATTTGAATTGAAAATTTAATAGGCTGTTAAATTAATCAATAAAATTATTTGCATTTATGCGTTAATTATTTTAGTGCTTTCATATTTAAAAATATCGTTTTATTGGCGCCATCTAAGAAATAAATACCTAACTAAAAGCGGTAGATCGCATGATACATCATTACCGAATAATGATTTCTCAAACTACGGATTCGACAAAAATATTCCATTTTTAATGCCAAATTAGAAATGATGCGTAATTGTATACTTACATTTTCTACCTCAGGTCCGCCGGCAAGAGCCAAAAGTTGCAGAAAATCTTTGCAGATTGAAAAATTCTTCGAGCACATGTTATGCATTGTCTATATTAAGAAATGAAGATCTTTCCAGTATTCAGACAAGAAATTGATAAAAAGAAAATAAATATGTATACATAATGCACTATATAATAGAAGAGGTAAGATGTTACCTGTTCGGAAAGTAGTTTCCTGGCAGCATTCGATACCGAATCTTTTTCCTTATCCAAGTTATAGTTGATCTCTCTTTCTATCATTTCAAACAGAGCTTGCACTAAAAACGTAATTCACTTGTTAAATTTTGTCTTTGATTAATATCAGTACATGAAGTTGTAAAGTTACACTATTAGGCACTTAAACGCTTATTAGGCACTTAAACGTTAATTACTGACTGACAGATGCTTACTAAACACTTAGTGGACTGCCACATGGCTTTTCGTTGCGGTTGAATTTAGAATCCCACAGCATAAGCTTAAATGAAACTGCTCCATTAAGCAATGAAAAAGATACCGCTAGCACCTAGCTAGAAGAAAACCCAACTAGTAGGAATAGATCATACAGATTCACGAAACTAAGTGAAAAATGGAAAACAATTATCACCAAAAAAGATCATGCGTAATGACATAAATGGCGAAAAATCGATAAAAAAAAAAGAGCACAGCTTATAATAACAAGTTTGTAAAGCTGGAGCCAGAGGTTAATTATAAACTGTGATCCTACCCCAAATGCTTCCACAAAAACTAGTATTAATCATCCTTCTGAAACAGGAAGAATTCCTCCCATCATCATTTCTCAAACAAATATGTGGTAGGCCCTTAGAAGTGAATTAACAGCACTGCACTAAATATACACAAAGCAGAAGGCAACGTGAAACGTGAAGAGATGCATCTTAGATGCATCTCTTCACGTTTCTTCAGAATCTTCAGAAGATGATTTTCGCGCTGTTTCAAGTCACTTAGAACAGACAAACTCCTTTTTAACACGTATAAGCTGAAAAGAGAAACTACCGTTAAGGTAGTGATCGATAAACTACTAGTGAACAAAAATGAGCTACATTCCTCAAGAGAAGGGGAGGAAGAATAAATTTGTTTGTTTACATTAGCTATACATAAGTCGCGTGATCTCTGTGATCATCTACATAACTACCCATAAGTTATGTCATCTTTGAGGTTATCGGAATGTATCTCATTTTTGATCTAAAAGACGAAACGATCTCAATGTTCCTAATACTAATATAAGAAAGATCAAAAGAAAACATTAATAGCGAAATTGTACATCTGCCTGCCTTCCCAACCGAAGTTCCCCGAAATGAGCAAGGAAAGTAAATTTACAACCTGTAATATTTGCAAAGCTTAAGGTTAACCCACTTCCAAACTAACCCAGTGTTTTCGTTTTCAACTATTTACCCATATCTAGGATTCCTGCCATAACCCATAATATTGCTTAAAATGCGGAGAAGATCATTTTACTTATCAATGCAAAGTAACGAAAAAAGGATGATAAACGAAAACGTGCAAACTGCAACAGGAATCTCATTTCAAGCTCAAAATCCTGTCTTCATTACCCAAAAAAATGGCTTAACTCCAGTGAAAGCGTCAAAAATACTGAAGCTAAAGTATCCGAAAGTACAGCAGTTCTTTAAAAATAGGCAAAATGTCTCCAGCTCTATAAATAAACAAAGCGAAATCAAATCAGTCGCCGAAGCAAACAACTCTAATGACGTCATCTCCTGGTTCAGAGATTTCTCCCGCATCTCAAAACAATTAATTTTATGACTTCAACAACGCGTGCACCATCATACAGAAGGTGCAGGCTGGCATCAAAGTAATTGAGTTTTTCGCAAACTGAATTAAAAGGCAAAAATCTCAAGTAGAAAATTTTCTCATTCAATCAACGCATTGATATCATGTGCATAAATGAAAAGCATCTAAATCCTTCAATTCTAAAATCTACAACTTTCTCAATATTATTAGAAAATACAGGCTGTATAATAGCGGCGGTGGTACTGCCATCCTCATTAAAAAGGCACAAATATTCAAACTTCAACTTTGATAACAGCTGAAACAAAGAAGCAGTTGGAACTATGATGTACAACAGCGAAACTAATAATAACCCCATTCTCATCATTTTAATTTATAACCCGCCGAACACTATTCTCAGAAATAAAGATCTTGGTAATCCTTCAGCTATCCTTGTCGCTGCCAGTGCTCACTTGTCTGACCTACAGTCAGGCCAAGCCCACAAAATTCCTCATGGAAAGCAGCTCGAGTTTACGCCTGTCGTTGGCAACAACCTTGAGCACATTACAAGTGACAGTGCATTTAGCTCAGATCTTCCCCAATTTTAATGAAGAGCACCCCGGGGGGGACGGATCTGGGGGTCTTCCACTACTCTTCCCCTACCATCAACATCTCGAGAGGGTTTTCGGCTCGCCACATATTTAGAGTACCTCCATGCCGCATTGACACTATACATTTATAAACATCCATGCCTTCTTCGGGATTCGCACCCGGGCCCTTCGGTACGGCAGTCAGCTACGCTAACCACTATACCGGTTGGGCGGCTCAGCTGTCCCTACAAAATCCTTGTTATGGAGGATCTAAATGCTAAAAATACAAATTGGAGCTGCATAAATTCTAATTTAAATAGTAGTATTCTGCTGTCCTACGTAATGCTGCAAAATAATCTGAACTTAATTGCTTCTGAGGAACCCACTCATAATGCCATGTTAACTAAATACTTGATTATCATCTCAGCTTAGATGCTTCCAGAAGTTGACTCTGATCATCTTCCAGTAAATTCCCTCCTGTATCAATATCCGCAATAATCTCACAATAACAACAATTCTATCAAATAGAAGGTTTTTCGAAACTTCTTTATAATTAGAATCCTGAAATTAACGAAGAAAGCTCCATTGCTTCAATTGACTCAAACGTACAGAAAATTACGCAAGAAATTTTTATTACAATTGATAGTGCCACCGAAGAAAATAACAATAATAGTAACAATTCTCTCTCCGAGGATATTAGAAAGAAAACCAAGAGCAGAAACCAGCTGAGAGAAAGTTATCAAAGGTATCTACACCCAAGGACAAAATTCGTTTAAATCGGATGAATAAAGAAATTTGCATATTAAATTACAAAAATAATAATAACAATTAGGGCAGCTAAATATAAATTAAGATCCAAATGCCGTATGGACGCTTATAATAAAATAGGTCCCATACATTCTCAGTCTGGCCCAATCTACCCTGAAGAAAACATTTTCGACTGCTAGGCTCAATATTTTAGAAATGTTACCAACAATAACATGGAAGATGAGGATACAAATACTGAAGTTGAAAATGCTGCGCCTAACTTTAATAAACAAAAGATAACTTCTGACATTATTCATACAGATAATTTCTAGAATTATCAAAAATCTTAAGCCAAGAAAAGCCCTACGATATGACAAGATTAATAATAAATCACTTAAGATACTCCTCAAAATTTCACTATAACTCTGGTCAAAATCTTCAATAGTTGTATTAATAAAAATTATTATATAAAGTTGGAATCTTGCAGTTATCTTTCTCTTTATAAAACCTGATTAAACGTTTCAAATTTTTTGAAAATTATAGACCCATCTAATTCTCTCCTCAATAGGAAAGATATTTGAAAGAATTATCCAAAATTGACTCCATTATTTTCTAGAAAATCAAGGCATTAAAATTAACCCATTTGCATTTCGCAAAGGACTTTCCACTGTTCACCAAATAATCAGCTTTATTGATAATACAGAGCACTTCTTTAAGCATTTCGTCTACATAGCGAGATTTTGTATCTAAATTTCTCTGAGTCACCAAGCCAGTCAGAACAGTCAAAGCAGATTACGTGATTTCTGTCCAATAACAGATCTCCATCAATCTCCCATCAAACATAATTTCCAAGGTTTTCAAAGCCTTTTATTTTTATGGCATCATTTTTTAAAAATAAGTTGTATTAACAATAATAATAATAAACGGAAAGCTGATTAGCAGGCAAGAAAGTAACAATGATTAAAAATGCTAATCAAAATGAAAAAAAAAAAAAAAAAAAAGAAAGAAAGAAAGAAAAAGGTAAATTAAAAAAAAAAAAAAAAAGATTTATGGAGGATCGGAAGGATTACAAATGCTGTGAAAATCTGACTTATTCGCAAATTATTGAAATTAAATGTATGGAAATTGGAAAATGATTGAAAACTTAAGTCACCTCTTGTGGAAAAAAGTTTTCTTTGATATGGTCACCTCGGGTAAATATGCATACCTCACATTTTGATTTTAAGGATTTTACCAAAGTGTTGATCAAGTCTTGTGGAATTGCACGCCATTTGTCTACAAATGCATTTTTTAGTTTCTGAAGGGTCTGGGAAGGAATTTAACGCTCTGAAATTCGGTGTCCTAAGGTATCCCACACATACTCAATCAGGTGAGTGAAGTGCCCAAGCCATTCGAATAATATCTTTTGTTTGCATGTATTTTGTATTCTGTTTAGCGTAGCTATATTGTAGGGTAGGGTTTCCGGTTTTACAAAACACATTAAGTGGACCAGACCCTAAAAATTCGTTCTTCAGTATTGAATTCCTGCCCCAACGAGTGGACTGTCTCCTTGGAAATCTCGTTGTTTTCTGCAATTCAAGCCGCAGTTTGGACCGCTTGTTGTAGAATATTAATTTGATAACTGTTACAATGATATTTCTTTTAGGTGTAACCATTTATAATACAAGCATATTTTATTCAATATACACAATATAATCATATTGATGTTATTAATTTAAATTCAGAATAAATTCAGATTTTCATTTACTTTTTTCTTCGTAATCATGCCCTTGGCTGCTGAGCAAATTCTCAAACAGCGAAGTGATATCTCCCGTTGATCTCTGAAGAAGTCGCAACCTTTGTCTGTTAGGATGATCTGAAAATATAAAATAGCTTAAAAATAATGACATAAATGAAAATTGTAAAATAAACAACACACAAACAGAAAGCTGAAATAAACCAACAGACAAATTAAAAGCAATGTTTCTTTTTTAAGTCAAATAAATTAATAATCTGAAATCTAATTATATTTATTTCTTATTATTTTTAAATAAAAATAAACTTGAATAATCTAAAATTTAATTAAAAAAAAGGTTTCGTATTATTAATCTTTCGTATCAACTTAATAGATGTTTCTCCACTTAAATGGAAACCCTTCAGCAGAAAATAAATTAAATATATATATATTGCAGAAGTTCCCACTTACATCTTTAACCTGTGGTAACAGGCCAACAGTCGTGAAAGAACAGAGTCGCTTAATGACGGTAATTAGTACAGGTTTTATTGGATTTATTAAAAATTCTGTAATTTTTATCATTTTTATACATGCGAACAGGATTGAAAAGATAACACAGAACATCAGAATAGGCAATTTATATTTATGTTCCTCATTTCTTGAAATTGAGTTTTGATTCGTATGTTTGTCAGACATGAATTTCAGTGGAACGACAGCAATGTAGAGATTAAAAGTTTCATAATAAAGTGTTTCAATAACAAGTTTTATCACGTTTAATGCTAGTATTGCATCAGCCGACAAATAATTCGTTTTCTGTAAAACCGCATTACAGATAGATAAAGCTCAAATGTAAACATAAAGCTCAAATGATTTAAAATAAAGATAATTTTTTTATTTGTGGAAGAACAGACAATTAGAAAGCACTGCAAATACATTCAATTTTTTTCAAGTAGGTTATTTATTTTTTCTCGTCTGACTGTATGCCTTCGTGTCTTAGAAGCATGTCCGACTGACAATCGGAAAGTCCACAGTTCAAATTCCGCCAATTGTGTTGCCTATTTTTCCCGTTTCCCGTTTCGAGATAAAATACCTAATGGTTTCTAGGAGTGTCGCTTGAACTAGAAGATGGTGGAGATATTATGAGAGGAATAACACTTTCTCAGATATGCGTTTGAGGCGAAAGTGGCGCAGCAGAACATTACCCCTTCTCGTGTTCCATTAAAACAAGCCCATCAGTGTTGCCGCCCAGACGGAATAGTAAGTATGACTATTGTACCGAAGGGCTAGGGTTCGAGCCCCGGAGAAGACAGATGTTTGTAAATATATAGCACTCTAAATATATGGTGAGCCGAATGTCCTTTCATGTGGTTTGGTGGTAAGGAAGAGGGGTGAGACCACACTCCGGGTGCTCTTCCTCAAAATTGGGGGTGGAAGAAGTCTAACTTCCTTGAGGTTCTGGCAATCATTCTTCCATGAAGTATGGACTCGACATCAAACAAACAAGCCTCACAGTGTTAGACCAACAAGAATGAGCTTTATTTCTGAAGGTATTTGGTAAATGTCCAAAACTTCCTCAAAATCAACAAAATTATCAGTAATTTCCGAAATAAGGCGAAATATATGCGAGGAATGTCAAAAAACTAGTTCCAGCAATTTCCTGAATCAATTGCATCGCTGGACAACATCCGCATAACGATACGGCAAAGTCCCAGTGCCCCTTATGCGTTCCTGGCCTGCCTTGACAATAAAAATGTTATTAAAATCTTTCTGGTAACTAAGATTTCAAGGAGTACATAAATTAACTAATCTCTCAGGCATGATTTCGAAATAGTTAATATTATCTCTTTCTCTCTACTTTTACGCTGAATCGCGTATTTAAAATAGACGTCTCAAAAGCGAAGAGCAAGTCTTGTTATTTACCTTCCACTTCCGCAGTGCGACTTGCTGGCACGTAAGAGCGCTTTTCACGTGTCTCGTTTTCAAAAGAATTTTTTGCCGAACGCTTGCGTTTCTTCTTTAACTGAAAACAAAACAAAAAGTTTTACGTTAGTTGTATGAACATTTTTATTTTTTCTTAACATATTGCATTAAACAGTCACTTCTGCTTTATTTTGTTTGAAATCTCCAAATTTTTCTCCGTAATTAATAATCAGAGAAGTTCTATGCTACTACCATAACATCCAACTACTATGCATTACATCCGTATACACTTCGAAAAAGCCCCCAAAATTTGTAATAATAACCAAAAAGAAATCATAATTCCAGTTATTTTACGAGCAGCGTTTTTCAAAGTGATAAAAATTACAGCCCTACAAATTGAAAAGTATTATAATTTCAAAAAATAAATTCTCATTCAGCCTGTAAATACCTTTACACAATGAGTTTTAATAAAAACAGAAGTCTGTGCCGAATGAATAAAAATATGCCTCACCTAAAATTAAGAATGTAATATCACTTCTTTGGATTCGATTCATGAAAAACCTTAAGAATTTACACTATTCTGATACTTTTTTTTATCTTAGCTTACAGGTAGAAATATGATATATTAATGAATAGCATAAAAAATTCTCAGCATTTAATAAAATCAACTAGACGTTTTTCTTTCGGATAATTTAGTTCTAGACTTTGAAAAGTAATTAAAAAGAAGAAATTACTTCACATGAGAAACAATTTGATAGAATTAAATCAAACGTCTTTTAAATGGAGATTTCTTTGTAATATCTAAATAATCAGATATAAAAATTTGTGAATATAATATTATTACGCATGAAAATTCCGAAAATAAAAATGCTTTTTTCAAGAAAATAGGGAATTTCCCGGAAAATACCAATAAATTTATTCGCAAAACTTTTACAAACTGTTTTTTAAATCTCTCATTTTCTTATTTACTTATTTTTTAATTTTAAATATTTTTATGATGGAAAACCGTTACTTTTTTAATATTGTCCAGTAATGATTCACATATTAAATAACTCAATTTCGTTTTCTGGATGGGAGCATTGCTACAGTAGGCTTTGAAATGGCACTACAAATGAGTTCAATAAATGGAAATTAAAATAAACAAAAGAAGCTTAGTTAAGATTATACATAATAAAAACGAGCTGTAATTTATTGTAAACGCATCATACGAAGCACTGAAAGGAAATGAGGACCAAAATGCTGAAATCTCTTTGATAGAAAGATAAGCAACACTTATATTCAACAGATAAATACACTGAAAGAGTGTTTCGTAATCCATGTTTTTTCCCCCTAATACATATTGTTTTGCTAATAACGGGTCAAGTTATCATGTATTGCGATCATTATATAAAAAGTAGGAAGACTATAGTTATGGTAATATATACATTGAGGGTCAAACATATCGCATCATATTAAATGCTGAAAGTAGCCATCTTTCATCTGCAGATAGCAAGTCGTTTGGTGGTCCATATCTGAGGACTTAACGAACTAACTGTAGCTGAATCTTTTAATAGAGTTGCAATTTCTCTTTAAGGAGATGGATTGCCTTTGGTTTAATGTATAAAACAGAACATTATCTTCAGCTATGTAAGAAGGAATTTCAAAGTTTAGAGTACTAAGTTTTAGAGATGTGTAGCAATGGTTCTTTGGATGTAATGCAATAAGACAGAAAGAAATTACAGCTGTCATAGATCTGCAACTATCATAATTTTTTAAATGAATAGTAACAAAAATTTGATCAGCAGAATAACGGAAACACTTTTAAACGAGTCAAAGACACTGAGTACAAATGTGACAGAGCGACCGATCATGTTAAAGGAATACGATGATAGTAACCAGCTGCTTCGAAGATCACATTGTGTACGAAGAAATATAACCATTAAAAACTCCTATTTTACGGTCAGGTTTTGGGATCACGAACAAATCAGTTCAAGACCACTAAGTCTGCAATTGATGGCATCAGCCACATTCAGCGTATTGAAATATTTTCGAATATTAAACGCTGAGTCGCCAGTTGCTTATAAGAAGAAATAGTAATTATCTTCATTTTTTTGCTGTGGCGCGAAACGTTGGATATTTCTTAGGGCATAACACTATTACAAATGCATTTGCCTACCTTATAGACTATATCGTCTACAAACTATAATTTTATGTGCGAGAGAAGAAGTTGTATAAAGGAAATAATATGAATATGTCTACTAAAGTGGGTTAATAAAATATTTTTTAAAAAACGTTTTCTATCTCTATACCCCGAAAAGTTGCTTATCGCATAGCTATGCAAAATAAATAAATAAAAAAAGTTTTCATATAAAAATATATCTCGATTTCGTATGGCATTCAAAGTTTTGAAAAATAAAAAAAATTTGCTCTTTTTTGTCAATTTTTTATAATTATTATGTAAGGTATTATGTTAATTTTATTAATAGTTAAATTTTGAGTTAAACTTCTTTTCCTATCTCTTTTCAACTTACCACTTCCGGCTAGAACGTAGTTTTAGAGTCACATCTGAATGCTAATGAGGAAGAACGGTATTTATCGTGAAGTTCTACTGTCTTAGTGAGAGAGATATCAGATATTCTGGCTCGCGTCCGCCTTTTTAGGCTACTCTCTCGTAAGCTATAATTACGCTCGGCCGTACTTTAGGCCCTTGATAGCTTCACAGTCAATTAGCGTTAAGGAGCCAACTCTGTTAGAATTTTGATAGCTTCGGCTATATCTCTTTTAGTTAAGATTAGTTTAGTTTAATTCTTAGTTTAAGTTGAAGCCCGAGTGTCGGCTTTATTGTACAATTCCAAGACGGAGTTCTGTAAAATCTTTATTTAAATAATAAAGGGTCTTTTAACCCTTTCCAAGTTTATTTACTGTCTCACGAACTCAAGCGATTATTCGCTTACTAGTTCTTAAGATTCTTCACTTTTAACTGTAACTTAGAATTACACAGTGGGGAATCCTACAACTAAATTCACAACTATCGAAATGGAGATCTTCTTAATGTGACTTTTGGAACATGAAAAGGTTTGAATGAGGAACACGAACGTGTGATTTCAAATTATTCATTGTTCGCGCAAAAGGCTCTAGAAACAGTTTTTATGAAAATAGCAATATTTCGTTATTTCTGATAATTTTTCGTTTTGAACAAACAAAAGGTAAATAAATTTATGATTTAAATTTTTTTTTTAATTCAAAAGAGTACATCTTTAAGTCAGTTTCTTGAGAAAACATCGTGATAGGAGGATTGTTCTAATCAAGTCGTTTCTTACACCAGCGTCAGACGCTTAAGCTTCATCCAGAGTTTGCTGTCATAAAGCTTTGTGTTTTAAGGCATTAAAGTCATTAAGTCTATCCACACTTGCTTAAAAAGGTTTGAGCCATAGCCAATCAGAGAGAGAGGAAAGTTCCGCATGTGTAGTTGACTCAGGGAAATCGTCGACCGATGTTTGATTTGCTTTGATTGGTCGGCTCTTATACCAAGTGGCACACAGTTGAAAAGTTAGAACATTTAGGGAAACTTTTTAAACTCGATAGAGGCTACATGCCTAAAAGCCCCGTAATAGTACCCTTCCTTGGTCCTTGGTCTTTAAACCAGTTTTTCTGACGTAGCAAAGTTTCAAAACTGATATAGAGACGAAACTCGTCTTTGATCACTCGGGATTTTAAAACAACCATTTGAAGGAAATTTTAGGTGCTTCACAGTGCAGTCACAAGTTTTGTACCGTTTTACAGCCTGGGGAGCTTGACAGGGGGAGCTTTTGAAATCCAGTTGCAGAGATGCACTAGTCTTTAATAGATTTTTGATCATACTTAACGCTCTTTAATAGTGGAGAAGGTTAGATATTGCAACTATCCCACCAAATGGTGTTGACGTAGTTTGCCGCTACGAAGTTGAGTTTTCGAGTGATGAAGTATCAAACTGTTTTTCCTTGGAACGTTATCAAGCTTTTAACAGTAAGCGCAGCCCTATTTCTTTGATATGTCTTCTTTCATCTACAATCATTGCAAGGGTCAAATTTTCAGGATAAGCAAACAAAGCATATCGCTGAATTAACGTGTTGATTACTTATAGTAAATTTTGAGATAAATATCGTGATGTTCTGATAACTGAAGAAAACTATCGTTGGAACATTCGCGAAACTTTTGCTGCTTTAGATCTTGCATCAGAAAAGTGAATAGCAATTCAAAATAAAATGTATGAATTGCTTTATTTTATCAATATGTTCTTCTAAGCTCACATAAAGTCTAAGAACTCGATCTGCTGCCGTCTTGTGCGGATAAGCGGATCATGATCATGAGCTGCTAAATCTTCTAAAATTTTATCTGACTTAATGCCAACAGAAATATTAAGTAAGTATAAATAACCCTTGCTCAATACTTTTCTGTCAACTTGAGAACTGGAGAACTTGACATGTTCAAAGCGAACCAGTGGAAATTTTTTCACAGCCAACGAATGTTTCCTCGACTGTTCCACTGAAGGATTTTGTCTTTGTGGTAACACCATCCAAGTGATAGGTTACAGAACTGCAATTCTTTAAAGTGTAGGAGGATATAGCTCACTGCAGGGGTCTTACAATGTGTGATTCTATTTTGTGGATGACATCATTTTTCAGATCAGTATTAATTAGAATACCATCTCTTCCTATCACATCAAGTTCTTCAAAGGAAATCTCCTGTGCAGTCAAATGGGAAATTATGGTAGAAGCTATATCATTAGAATTCCTGTAAAAGAAGAATTATGGCCGATTTATTCTGATTCCGATTCTTGTATGAGAGAATAATGGTCTTCTTTTTCAGTTGTTTGAAAATGCTTTGAATTAATTTTTTTCAACTACCAGCTTGTCGTCTTTTCTTCCATTAGAGTACAGACCAGAGGCCCGGTGGCGCAGTGGCTAGCGCATCGCGCAGCAGCACCACAGGTTCGGGGTTCGATTATCGGGCTCGGTAAGGTCGACTCAGCTTTTCATCCCTTGATTTCCATCACTTGGGTCGATAAAATGAGTACCAAGTTCGCTTGGGGACTAAGCACTGGAGGTCCTGCGACAAGCTGACCACTTGTTCAAGACATATGCTTACTCACTCCGGGGCCCACGGTCAAGAAAGCAGATTTCGGGCACTGCAGGCCTTGGCCCGTTAGGGCTGTTACGCCACGGAGTTTAGCTTTTAGAAGAGTACAGACCACGTAATGTTGTTTCCTTGACAGATTAATTCTGCAAATCATTTCTGTTCTTACGAATTTTCTTCTTATTATTTTGCTTTTCTGAACGACGTGAGAATTTTCGAAATCAATTATTATTTACATAGTTACATTATATTTATTGTACTACAATTAATACATACCAGTACACAATATAGCTACATAATAGATGATAATTTTAGTCTCCGTTTAAAAGGATTTATAGTAAATAATTATGAAATTTTGCCATTCTTTTTTGCAAAAAATTGTGTTTTTTTTACCTTTTTGCGCAAAAATTAAATAATTTTAATGCATATGTTTTTAGCTTTTTTCATATTTCTCATGCGCCAAAACTGGCATTCGGACATATGGCGTTTTGATAGTAATGAGCTTACTAACAAAAATAATTGACGAAAAGCATCAAAATTTCTCCATTTTTCAAAACTTTGAGTGCGATGCGCAAACAGGAGACATAATTTTATTTGAATTTTTTTCAAGCTCAGGTGGGTGATAGGTAACTTATTTTTAAAGAGTTTTTTCAGCCAACCCTATTGTCTATACAGAATGGTCCAAAAGACAGTAAATATTTAAAAAATTTGTAAAAATTCAGAAAATAAATAAGGCAGTGAATTCGCACGGAAATGAATCACAAAAAGTGGTTTCGTTTATTTACTTAATTATTGCGTAAGTTCTTATATAAAATTAGATTAAATTTATATTCTGATTTCATATATTCTATTCCAACTTTCATATATTTGACTGAATTCAAACGTCAACGCAAAAAGTTTTTGTTTGAAAATTTTACCGATTAATCGTTGTATTACATTCAATGATCACAATTTTGAAATCCTACTGAATAGCTTATGTAGAATGGTAATCTGAATAATTATTTTGACGTTATGAAAGGAGCTCCTGGCACATGAATGAATTGTTTCATTAATTATTTTGAAAAAAATCGTTACTTACAGCATGTGATACAATGTATTTTATCCGTAAAAGACAATAAAATACTTAAAGTAGCTTACATTTGTTTTCGGACACTTGTATTTTTGAAAGTTATTTGAATAGATCTTGTATTAAATATTGAAACACAGACCAAATTTTTCCCTAATTACAATGGTACTTCGGTATACGTCCGCTTTTGAAATACACCCAGCTTGGAAGTGAAAATTTTGATTTAAAATACGATATTTGTTTGGAATACGGTTCGAATTCGATGGTCACGGCTGCGCAGACTACATTTATTCATCTCTTTAGAGACAATGCTACGACTGAGTATGAGCATCAGTGCATCTGTTGCTACTGTCCAGTAAACAACCTACACTATAAGTCTGAATTTTCAAGTTATTTTGTGTGTTTTCGCATAAATTGTTTGTAAATTTATTAACCCTTTGCGGCACAGTGTGTCCGGTCTGGACACACCTAAACATTTCCTTCTGTACGCACAGAAAAATTCAATAAAAAAGGATTTAGAGGTTACTATAGGCTACTCTGAATCTTCTTTATTTATAGTAGATGGCAGCTCAACACAAACCAGTCCATATATTTTAGCCATGTTTAGTTTTTAAGACCCTCGTTTTTCAAAGAAATCTTCCAGACTTTTTTAGGGTATAAAAGGAATTGTTTGAAAAGAAATTCCTATATTATTTTTGGCTGTATGCTAATCTCCTTATTATATATTAATTTAAAATTTTTACCTTAAAATCTTGCCTAAAACGGGAACCCTAGGTGTGCCCAGACCGGGCTCACCGATAATCTAGGACAACTAAGAGTCTGTATTCTTTGTTTCTCCGCATCTCATCAGTCAGTTTATTGACAACAATACTCGTTTCAGTACTCTTTTTGAAGCTCTATTCAATCAGTGTGCCACTTTGGGCACACCCACAGAATTAAAACGATAAGTGCTATCTTCACAAAATTTTACTTGTGTACTCCTCTAGGCCTAATTAGACTGCCTATCTTTTTTTTCTTTAATCAAAACTTTGACTTTAAAAGGTAGCGTGCCGGAAAGGGTTAACAATGAGTTTTAGGGGAGTTAATGAGAAGAGTCAAGCAATGAAAATATTTTTAGGGTCACCATGAAGGTGGAAAAAAAATATTGCTGAAAAGTATGAAGATAGTACACATATATGGACACATATATATGGTTATTGCATACCGTATGTAGAATACGACTGTGAAAAACAAAGACGCTATTAAATCAGTTAACGTTGAGAAGGAAGCGAAATTGATTACCAAAGATCAGAAATGTTAGAGTTGGTGTGGACAAATACTTCGAACAACGGGTCCAAAATCCCTTTTTTTTTTAGTGCATCATACGAGCAAACCGTCGCATGGTTCGATGATACTTGTGTACCGATTGTTTTCCTGTGAGCTTATTGTTTGCCATGACGTCATGAGGAAAGGAAGAGGAAAACACCCCTCCCCTGTAGAATTTGTAAACAGAAATTGCATATATATATGTATATACATAATATAATATAGTATTCTTTATATTTAATTTCAGATTTCTCACTTTAACGATTATTATCTTTAAAGTTTACCATAGACGGTGAACACTTGTTTACAACGGCCCTGAATTTGGGTAAACCAGCAAAATACACAATGCACGTGTAATTTTTTTATAAATTTATAGATTTGCATACATTTTTATTTTTTATTTCCTATTTTGTGTTGTAAAATCAATCATTAATTAATATCTACTTAACGTGAGACGAAAATCTAAAATGTTCTGCGATTATTTTAACCAAATTAGAATTATCATGTGCGTTTGGAAAGTATTACTTTTTAGAGTCATTAGGTTATTTCGAAGCAGGAGGCATGAAAAATGAGCAATGCCCTCGCCGGGATTCGAACCACGGACCTCTCGAATACGCGTCGAGCATGCTGACCACTACACCACGAAGGCATGCTAAGAAGATATATGCTAAATACCTTATAACTTGTTTACCAAAAATAGTAACAGCTCCATAAGTTATGTTCCAAATTTAACTATTGATGATTTTAAAGATGCTAAAAGTATTCAGAATATTAAAAAAATCTTTGACGCAAAGCGTTCAACTATATTTGATGTGTTAAAACGATAAAAATTGTGTGGAATTGTTCAAAATGCATTGACGTGTAGATCACATTTCAAGCTAACACGAAGGAATCTTGTATTTATCCTATGAAAAATCAAACAAAACTTAAAAATTAGTGCTATAAAACTCGCATCAATATAGAAGAACAGACTACGATAAACGTTAACCCTGAAACTGTAAAAGAGTCATTTGGACACATGGATACAATGGAAGATCAATAAGCAGATCATTAGTCGAGAAGAAAAATCAAAATACAGCTTTCCATTCGTCACATCCGTGGTAAGAAAAGATATTTATCAGATATTTATTTGTTTTTTATTTTATTAGTTATAAAGATATTAATAATGCTATATTTGAAAACGAAATAAAATTTAATATTGGATCCGATGGGCGAATGAATTGTTGTGAGATGAAAGCCACTGAAGAATTGAATCCGAAAATTCTGTTGCCTACTGTTAAGCATGAAGATGGAAGCATGGTTCGGGTGTATTTCGCTGCCTCTGGGATGGGAACATAACATTTTATCGAAAATAATATAGATCAGTATAAATGTGTAAGTATTCTTAATGAAAACATAAAAGCATCTGGAAGGTAATTTGGGATACAAAATACATTCAAGTTCTATCGTGATGACGATCCTAAACTTACAACCCTAGACATTCTATCATAGTTATTATACAACTGTCCTGAAGTTGTAGTCATTAGGTTAATTGGAAGCAGAAAAGATGAAAAATAGCAAACGCCTTCGCCGGGAATCGAACCACGGACCTCTGGAATACCGGCCCAGCGTGCTACCGTTACACCACGAAGGCACGCTAGGAAGTGGGAGAAATACCTTATAAAGTTATCGAAATTCCTCAATATTCTTCGAATTTAAATCCTATCGAAGATCTATAAAGTGAGTTGGAGAAAAGGATAAGTAAAACATTATATTTTTTCGAAATCCCTATTGTAAGCAATTCTTTCAGATGAATGGAACATTCTCACGATAAAAAGTTAGTAAAACATGCCAAAAGTGTCTGAAAAGCGTAATTTTAGCAGTTCGAAGTGTTTGAATATCATGTGAATTTATTTTCAGAACTTTTTGAATAAACTTCTTTTTTTTTTCCCATACCTAAAACATTTCAAATACCTTTTTCGAAAACAAGTAAGTTTTAAAAATGAATAAACATTAACTGATATTTGTAAACAAAACTGAGAAACACAAGCGAAGTGTGAACCACTGTAATCGTAAAATGCTAAATCATAAATACTCTTACCAAAAAAAAAAAAAAAAAAAAAAAAAAAAAAATAGTAATAATAATAATAATAATAAAAGAAAGAAAAAGAAAAAAAAAATGCTTCATTGCAATCCTTTCTTAATAATGCAATCCATTTCACCCAACTGTTTGATTTCTAAGAATATTTTAAATTCTTATAAAATTTCGTATCTCCTTGCATATTTCTAACTTTTATTCTATATTATAAATTGATTAACATAGTATGATTTGACGAAAAGGACCAAATTCGTCAAATCATAATGTTTTTAAATATAATTTAAATAAAATATCAGTATTCGAAATCAATACTAATGATGTAACGCATTAATATGTTGAATCAGATTAGGATTAGAATGCCTTCATTAATTAAAAAAAGTTATTACTTGAATAAAAGCCTGACTTCTTCCTAGAAAAATCTAGAAACTTACCTGAATTTCGTAAACTGAATGAGCTTTGAAATAAGCCAAAATATCATCTTCGGTATCCCGTTTCTGACGAGATCGTCTGCCTTCAGCATTTGGAAGCAGAACTACCGATGAAGTGCCACCTACACGAAATGTGAGAAAATTAATATATAATTATGTTCTGGAGTATTTGAAACTATTCTAATCGAGAAACTAAATGCATATACGAAAATAATGGCTTAAAAATTTTTTCTCTAGTTACATTAAATAAAACGCAATTAACAAACTCAACTGTATTTATTAGAGATAATTTTTAAAAAATGCATGTTTGCTTTAACTTATTTTTGATTCTCCAAAAATTACGATGGCGATGTCTCAAAAGTTTTCTTCTTTAGCGTTTTCTCTTCGTACCTTTATAGCAAAGGATTGCATTGTTTACTGTTCGGTCTATAATATATAATATGTTGTGACAAAGTTTCAAACATTCCAATAATTTTTATAATTGTTTGAGCTGTGAATTCTTGCTCTGGTAGTTGTGCAAGTTGTTCTATTCTCCACAAATCCTTTATTCATCTGTGTTAATAGTAAGTGTCTCCTTATCTAGTTCATTACTGTTCAGTTTTATGCACTAAATTATGTTGACATAAACTAACGTTAAAATCAAGTTGTTATCTAAATTTCGCTATATTTTCAATGACTTCAGCAAAATGGGTTTTAGAAACCAATGAAATCATTTGCACGATATGATATGATATGTTTTAATATTGCTTTCATACTGCTTTCCGTTAATTCATGCCATGCTTCGCCTATATTTTTGATAGCATTTCTGTGCTATAGCTCTTCCAAACTTCCATTAACGTAAGCTGTCGTAGCTTTTATGGCTTGGGATAAAGTGTGGTGCAATAAAACTTAGAGTACGGCTCGTCGTTGCTCTTCCCGCCTTGTCTAGTGATAATTGTCAGAACATAAGAATGAACGGCCCCCGCATAGGAACATTTACATGGGAAGTCAGCTCTAAATTTCATGTCAAGAAAAGTGACTAAGCCTTTGAAGCGAGAAAAACAATTGCCGATCCTTCTTTGAAATCTGATTATAATTATTGGAATACGGTAAAGTGCTCTAGGCTACTGCCTAAAGAGATGAATGCCTTCGTGGAGGATTTTCAAAAAGAAAATGGCCCGTAATAACATTGTACATGGGTAAAACCGTAAAAACCAAGCATGCACTTAAGCCGTTTGCCTGGGTTCGAAACCCGAATTACCAGCATTCAGTTGTCTTAACCACTAGCAGGGCTTTCTTTCAAGGAAATCGGCTAAATCCCAGCTATTGTTAATCATAAATAAAATTTAAAAAGTAGTTAAACTTTAGTAGCATGAATTATGAAATTTCATAGAATGGTGTGATACTTCTTTGGCAATATGAAGCAACTCCAATGCTGGAACACAGAAAAAACTTTATTTAGCACTCAAAATGGCGACATACAAAAACAAGAAGAAAAAAAAAATTCTAACATTTAAAAATGAATTACATTCTTCGTGCGAGAGTCGCACGTGGCATTGTAGCCTGGTTTCAAATACTGCCATTCACAAATACCTTAATGTTCATCTAATTAAATTATTTATTTTAAACTACTAGATTTTAATAATATTTAAAGCTGTTACAATGGTTGTTTTTAATCCATGAAGTTGGCAACAAACTCCAAGTGATTAACATTAGGAGAAGGGCCAATGCTGCATGTGTACGGTACAGACATTTCACGAACTGTGAACATTCCTTTTTTTATACTGATATTAATTAAAAAGTTGAGACTGATAGCATGAAGTAGGCCTAAAAAATCAAAGTAGATGGATAATCTTTAGAGTAGAAATCTAAATTAAATAACACAAAAAGTACTTATTTTATGTTCATTATAAAACACTTTATCTGCATTTGGATCTTGTTAAAAAAAGTTATCTGCTTTGTTTCGTTTTACAAAATCTTTCCAACTCTTTATTTAATGCGTTCTCCACTTATTGGAATCGTATTTCCCCACATTTGCTGTTATGGAGGAAAGGATAAATGCAGTAGTTTTTACTTTAACGATTCACTATCAAACCTCTACTCACTACTAGATAACATTCTTCCTCCTTGGAAAACTTGCATTTGCTGCATGTTGAGCGCTATCTTGTCTCTGTCATTCAATGCCTCGCTGGGTGCAAGAGACAAAATATCATTTTCAGTTATTTGTTTGTTGATAACCACTGTGGGCTGTTCCATTTTCACAGCACTCCAACCGGCGATATTTAATGGAGCACTTTTTTCCGTTACTCTGTTAAAAGAAAAAGAATATTTTAAATGTCTCTCATATCTTAAACCAAATTACTTTATTACTTTTTCAGTTAATATTTAAATGAAAGGAACTGATAATTAATCTTAAATAATACAGAATCAACAGTATGCTGTTTATTTTCATTTTTTCTTTGTTGTTCACAAATGTGTTTTCTTTAAGTCATATAGTTCTATTTTAAGTTTACCCAAACAGCTTAAATTCTTTATGTTGCTCTTTTCTTTTTGTCCTCATTTCTAATTTATTTTAGAAGTATTTATGTTATGCTACTATAAAGGAATTTTAGCATCTACAGAAATATATATGTTTACGTTGTAGGGTTCCTCACTCTTTTTGGCTAAAGTGAAAGTCGAGGAACCTAGCGAACTGTTAAGTGACTTCGCTGAGTTCAATTAACTAAAGACGTAGACTCAAAAAGGGTTAACTACCCTTTATTTCACTTAAAATAAGATAAACAGTTGGCCCCTTTCTCAGGCTTACAAAGCCTCTACTCGGACTTTAACTCAAAATAAGAAATAGGAACTAAACTATAATTAACTAAGAGAGACTTAGCCGAAGCTAAATACAAGCTTTAACGTAATTGGCCCTTAATTTACTAGCCGGTGAATATCAGAAGGCACGTAATATAGGGCCAAGCGTAACAGCTTCAAGAGAGATTTTTAGCCCGAAGGCAAACACGCACTACTCAGGATTCCTAGCTCTCTCTCCCGAAGTAAGTTGAACCTTTCTTAAATACTACTTCTAACTCGTTTACATTCAACGCGATTCTAAAAACTCCTTCTGGTAGGGAGTAGCAAGTGGAAACAAGAAACGATAGGAAAGCCCATGAAATTAAAATAACTGTTATAAAATTAAAATATACCTTACAACATATAATTGTGGCGAAGTCTAGTAAATCAGCACAAATTTGGTACTTACGCAATAATTTGCCAGTAATGATTAGATGAACAGCGTAAAAAATGGAAAGGAACAGCCTAACTTTTATGTCGATAAGTGAAAGATAAATCAAATTCTGGATGAAAAATTTTGAGAAATGTTAATCCCTTCCAGCTTGGTTATTTCAAATTATTAATTCTTCTTTTGTCACCTCTGTTATAACTATGCTTTAACATTCCAGACGGAGCAAAGTTTTTAATTGTTTTGGCATTCAAATTTGCAATCTGCTGACGCAGGATATTGTTAATTGTTTTTGATTTTAGTTTTGCAGTCTTCAACTTCACATTAAATTTTTTTGCCACTATTCTTTCCTTCGCTAATTTTTATGTCAGCTTATATAACATAGTTTAAGTCTAGTTAGAATATTTTGTAAGGATCTTAAGTTTGACTAACGTTTATTTTGTTTTAAAACTTTACTGTCCTCTCTTATTTTCCACTTCCGGCCAGAATAAACGCGTTAATCGGTTTATGCAGATTGTACTTGCTAACGCTTAAGTATTTAAGTAGTGGCGTTTTGCCAAAAATAGAGTTAAGGGCTGTTCCCAGTGCGGTTTATCTGAGCTAATGGGGACAGCTAACGTAGCGGACCCATCTCCAAAACCAGTTTTTTTTCCCATAGGGCAGCAAGTTGAAATATCTGAACTGCAGGCACAATGGAGCTAGTCGAAACATCGAACTAACTCCGTTTACCTCAGATAAATCTCAGTGGAAACGGTTCTTTAGATATAGAGAGAGTGATCCTCCTTGCCACTGTACTTCACGCGAGCTTTCAATCAGTTGCTGTCCGCCTTTAAGGCCAGAGGTTTAGTCCTCTTGATATCTAAAGAGCCGTTCCCACTGGGGTTTATATGAGCTAACGGAGTCAGTTCCATGTGTCGACTAGCTCCGCTATACCTGCAGTTCAGATTTTCAACTTGCTGCCTTATGGAGAAAAACTGATTTTGGAGATGTGTCAGCTACTTTAGTTGTGTCCGTTAGCTCAGATAAACCCCAGTGGGAACGGCCCTTAAGACGTATTGTAGTTTTCCGCAGTTTGCGTTCTACATACGTAATAATCTGAAAGGCCGACCTTACTGTTTGTCATCTGTGTAAAGTATTCAAAGTTAGCTCTTATTTAAATTTATTTAGTTATTAGTTCTTATATTTTTACGTTCAGACCACAAGTGGTTGGTCTTTGTATCCTGAAGTGCGGGAGCGCCTGTAATATTGTGGAGAATAAAGGGTAGTTAAACCCTTCGCATCTTAGTCATCTCCTCTACATTTCCACAGAATATAGTAGGTTGAGTAAGCGTCTTGTTTCTATTCAGGATTATTAGATGTTTCCTAAACAGATTAGACGATCAACCAGTCCTGATAATTTAAGGAAAATTTAATTTTAGGTATCATTCATCTTAACTATTTTCTGCTATAAAGATATAGTTAATTTTTCAATAATAATTTTAATTTCATTAAGTTTTTAACAACGAAACTGGTACTTAATTATTATACTGATTATGGCGGTTGCAGTTAAGTACTCAATTTTTAATACTGATTTATTAAAAAAATAGCATAAAATATTTCAAAAGGCACGTAAAGGTCTTGATTACTAAGGAAAAGTAATCAAGACTTTTACGACTACTTAAAGACTTTAGAATCAGTCAGAACAAAGGAATACATAATGTGCTTTAGAAGTTCCAAGTAATAAGGTAAGGTTGCATAAGTCGTACAATCTAAGAAAAAATAGGTATAAATTGCAAAGCTTGAAAAAAATAAAAAGTGCGTGTGGTAATAATATCTTATGTCGTCATTGCTGATACTTGTTACAATAAAATTCCATATTCTCTTGAATAAAATCAATAAAATTTACGAACACGAACTTAATATGGCTTAGACAACCAGTATTCTAAGTCGTACCTATATAGATCAAGTCGTACTACATTTAAAATAGGGCAATTAAAATAAAATTTTCTTTTTCTCAATTAATTCATTTATACAATTAATTACAACAGCGACCACAAAGACATTTTTTCATTTTCTTGAAACCTCCAACACATAAGTCGTATACCCATCTTTTGCATTTTAGGCACTGAATCATTTTTTCTTCCCGGCCTTCCTCATAAATATTACAGAAAGAGGAACACGATGTGAATCAATATGGTTGACTAGAAGAGCAACTCATCTTGTCGGAAGAAGCGCAGTTGGCGCGATATTACGCCTATTTAAAAGGTACGACTTGCGTAATCTTATGCTACTTATGAATTCTTATTATAGGAAATTATCATTTACTTACGTAATATTATAATTAGATGTATGTTCACCTATTACAGAATTTTCCACCACGGCGTTTTCTCTCTTGTTAAAGTTAAGTTGAGTAGCGAAGGCATCGACAAGATGACGCTTAAAATTTTTCACCCTTCCATCCGCTTCATTATCAGCGAAACGAATTTCGGGTATTGATCCATTAGCCAGTTGTACAAACTGGAAAGGTGTTGAATACAGTACTAAGAGATCATTCATATTGAAATCTAAAATAAAAAAGAAATTGAAAAATGAGTTTTAATTTTAATCAGTTCTATTGCCTCATTTTACAGTGGCATAAATATAGAAAAAGATCAACTTGAGTGTAAAGAAACTGCTGTAAATTTATGTAAATATTTGTGTTTATTTGATTACATTGTGGTTTTTATGTACTTTCATACTTTGTACTTGTGGTTTTTATGTACTTGTACTTTTGTTTAATCAAATTTGTGGCCTTTTATTGTGTTTGTAAGTGTTTGTTTCAGGTATGATATTCCAATCTTGTGATTCTAAATCGGTAGATGTTTTAGTTTTGAATTAAAACCTCAGATATGGACAAAATGGTCTCGTCATGGCTCTTGGCAAAAATTCCTGTTGCCAAATTAACAACATTTGGCAATTTCCCACCAACTTGGCGATATTTTGGAAGTCTTAGGACAATTCATTCTTGAAACCTTGGAAAGGAGTTTTCTGGAAGCTTCCAAAAATGTTAGGAAACCCTTTTATATGCAGATATTGGAACCGATAATCAGTTAACTGAATGATTCGGTTCAGAGTCGTATGACTGTACTATTCATAATTACTGCTATAGATTTTGCTCTTTGAATGATTTTAGAGATTTGAAATATTCCTTCTGAGTTAAATGCAGAATTTTATCTTTGGTTTTCTTTGTGAGCTATGTACAGCTTTTTGTCTTGCTGGAGAGTTACTATTTATTTTAATAAAATGTAACTTTCATCCTGAGCATCTGACGTAGTTATTAAGAAAATCTCTACGAACTCATACCCCGAATCATAAAACTATCCCATAGTTTATGAGGTTTCATTCAATGGGAAAGATTTCCGCAATACAAATATAATCTCGAAGTATCAAATGCATAATTTTAAAAAACCAGGAAGTAAATTAAACCAAACAATCCAATTATAATTGAATAGATTAATAATTAATTTTATTCCTATGATGAAAATCTTTTGTAGATGAAATTTTCTTTTGACTGTAATATTTTAAGCTAATGGTTTTAAACAACTGAGACACTGTGATTCATAATCGGTCAGTTGTCATAAAAAATTATGTAATTGACTAAAAGATAACGATTCTTTAATAATTTAATATCAAATCAACTTTGATCTGAAAAATAAGTGTTTATATTTTAATTATATGGAAGTTAAACTTATTATTAAATTTCATAAAATAAATGTCTGCAGCCTTCAGCATTTTTAAAGTCACTAACTTCTCTAAATAATCAACTATGAGGAATTGTACTGCGATTTATATTATCTTGCAGTTCTTGCAATTTATGTTAGGAATTTCGGTGGTAATGAAATGATGTTTTAGATGAAAAGGAAGCAAAACGAGAAGAATTCCTATTAAACAAACAATTATTAAATGTATTTTTAAATATGTCACTTTCTTTAGCTTTTCGAATATTGCTTCAACAAGGTTCGCCTTTAATCTGAAAATATAAAACATCTAACCAAACTTAAGTAATAAGCTGAGAGAAAATATTATTACAGTAAACTGAGTAAATACGATGTATTGTAATTTACATATATAAATTTAACATACTTTTTGTAAGATGGATTTAAAAGGATACCAGTATTACATTAACTACAATTGAAGCTGCAATTGAAAAATGTGATTTTATTTTTAGCTTCTGAATGGCAGTTGTTATTTTTGGATCACAAACAAAGCTAAATGAATTCCTTCTTAATGTAATAGATATATAGCCCTCTCTAAATTAAAAGAGCTTTAGTTTATGCAGGAAAGAAATCAGAATTTTCATTTTCAAATTTCAGCAGTGTACAAACATCATATGGGACATTCAACTACAAATGTTTATATATATTGAATATATATATAATAATTTATTTCTTAAACAATATTGATTAATTGATTATATTATCTATAGAAACCTCATTTTCATGCCTATCGTCCTTTAAGAGAACATTTGACATTTACAGCGAACCTAGGATAAAAAAAAATTTTACAGTAATAAATATAGACTTCAAAAGAAAAGTTTCTCAGTCAAGGGCACCCCGTTTCTTTTTCATGATTCTGGTAACGCAAGGAAGCACATAGATTTGAAGTACAAGATGATTTGACAGAGGTTACCAACACGTTTCGCTTTAATTGTATGTTGTAACCATTCAAAAGCAACATCATGGTGTATTATGTTGTAAGGATTATGTTAATTTTATTAACAGTTAAATTTTAAGTTAAAGTTCCTTTCCGGTCAAATTCTTAACTTCAACTTACTAATTCCGGCCAGAACGTAGTTTTGGAATTTGCTGAATATTTAATGAGAAGGAGCGGTATTTAACCACGAAGTTACTTACCGAGACGGAGAGAGAAACAGAGTTTCTGAACTACGCGCGTCTGCCTTTTTGGCCGCTCTCTCTCTCAAAGCTGTTATACGCTCGGCCGTACTCAGGCCCTTGCTAAGCTTCGTAGTAAAATAGGTTAATTACTCTCATTGTACAACTCTCATTGTTGTACTCAACTCTCATTGTACCTTGATAGCTTTGGCTATACTTAGTTAGTTAAATCTTAGTTTTAGTTTAATTCTTAGTCTGTTAAGTTCAAGTCCAAAGTGCGGACTTTATTTGTTCACTCCCAGGTGGAGTCTTGTTAAATCTTATAGAAATAAAAAAGGGTTATTTACCCTTCTCTCTTGTTATTTCCTGTCTTCGAACTTCTAGCGATTATTCGCTTATCAGTTCCTAGGTTCCTCACTTCCAACATTAACTTAGAATTTCAAGTGAGGGACCTTACAATGTCATAGTACTAGTTTATATCTTTCCGAAGATAAAAACAAAACATAGCATAAGCACATGATGACCCATCATTTTGGACTGTGTTGCCAGCAGCAGTACCACCAGCACATGTGCCACACATCTGCATACAAATCTGAAGGCAACATACAACTGATTAAACATTCGGATCAGTCATGGATTCATATTGTTTCATATTATGGACACGATATACGTTATACACTCAATTGGCACTGTACAAAGGAAATTCTATTGACAGATCGCAGAGATCGAAAAATATAAGTTAATAAAAATCCATATCAATAAGTATTGTACTTATATTCAAAATATTCTATTACTCTACGTATAAAATGGTAAGAAATAAAGGCAATTGAAATGACAGAAACTATTCTTCTCTGAGCAAATTTCTCGCCATCTAAGCTGACTAATAAACCTGGCAAAGGGCCATTCCTTTTTATGGAGAATTTAACATTTTTTTTTTAATTTTATTTTTCGACTGAGACTTCATAGAATATATTCACCACCATTCTATGTTTATGATAATTAGAGATATAGTTTAAAGAAACTTTTGTTTGTGTGTCTGATGACAGACTCTCATTAGTTTTATTATTAATAGGTTTTCCTAGAAACTCGTCCAATCATCTTCTTCTACAGAAGTTTCATTTCCCTATTAAAAAAATTACAATTAAAAAAAATATTATTTCATACTACTGCTACGCAAAACAATTGCAGGAAGCTTTTGTTGTATAAAAAAAGAAAAACCATAAAACCACAGAAAACTTTCACATCTTTGTAATTCTGTTTCATTGTTCTATCAATTTAATCCCAAGAAGTGCAAAACATTTATGTCATTGAGGTTTTTTACACTCATCAAGTGCACTTTAATACATTGTTCAATGGCAGTTACAAACCTTCTTCTGACTCATCTTCTGGTAACTCTTTCCTCTCATCAACTGGATTACTTGGCAGAGTTGGAGTTATTTCGGGTTCTCCACGTCCGAATACTCGGCTAAAAAAATTTTTAATGCGATTCCAGGCACTGGTGAAAAATTCTTTAACATCTTTTTTCTGTCTTCGTGCTGTTACACTCCTACAAATAATTTCCGTAAAGGGTAAAAATGTTATTTTAGTATCATATTTAGGATTTATTAAAGTATAAAATTACAATCAAATTTCGATAGTCCTCAGATTTTGGTACTGAGGATGGCATAAGTTAGAGAATATTTTAAATTGTAGGTCATTACTTACTGAGTTTTATTTTTACATTAAATTTTGATTTTTTGTATATAAATAAATAACAAACCCAAACGCCATACCTTAAGAATTACTTAATATAGTCTCACAGAATACAAAGCTATTATATTTTTAAAAAATAATATACGAAGAAAATAGTACAATGGGAAAGCATAGTGAAGAGAAAAATCGGTAAATGAGAGTTTAACCAAATCCGCTGTAATGAACTGAAAAGGACCTTAAGTATTCCGTAATATTCGATAGTCACTCGTAGTTCACTATACCCTACCTAATAAGAAAAACAAATTATCTCACAAAAATGCGTAACAATCGGCTAATGAATATCAAAAATTAGCATTGTCACATCTACTAAAAGAAATCAATAATAACCTTCATTAAAAATAACGCACTAAAAGTTAATAACCATTATTATTACATACAATTATAAAATTTGTTTTCCCTTCCTTTTCAGTTTCACCACATGCTAATAATATGACAAGATAAATTACCTTCCATAAAAGTCATGGTTCAGAGCTCTCGTGAGAAATTTTAAAAATTAGTATCATGTTGAAAACTTGACGAAATTCTGCTAAACAATTATGAAAATACCGAAAAACAAATCAGTAGAGGACAGCGATAAAGTTCGTTATAACCGACTTTTCATACGTGTGTACATTCGCTATAGTCGTATAAAATAGCATGAAGTGAATGGGAAAAGGGCAGGATCAAAAGGTTCGTACATTACATCCGGAGGTTCGTTATACACTGGTTCACTATAACGAGATTTGACTGTATTTCGACAACTTATAAAGTCTTATATAATTATCAGTCAGTCACTAATTAATTATAATTACTTATTAATTATAAATCTTTTACTAATGGAAACTGTGACTAAACTTTTTGTAGATTAAGACACAATAACACGCCGAATAAATACTAATTCAGAAGTCAAACAACAAAAATCAGCGTTATACCTACAAAATTTTCACAGGACTAGTTTCGATGGTTTTTACCGAACCATCATCTTCAGCTGCAAAACCGCAAATGAACAAGATAGGAAATAATGATTAGATAAGATAAGAAAGCCTGGACAAGAATAAGTAAGTGGCGCCATCTGTTGGCGAAACCAGAACTAAAACATAATTTCTCTAAAAGCCGAAGGCAAATTTGGATTGGAATTAGGATCGTTAACTAGAACAGAAAGATTTTTATGAATGTGAAATGCCTCTAGAAAAATGTTGGGGCTTTTCACCCAACATTATTAATCAAGCAGTGAAAAAATTCTCATCTCAACACACTAAAAGCCACACTCTTATTTTAGGAGATTATAAAATTCTGTTTCATTCCCTTCTTTCCATCAATTAGCTATAAAGTTGCACATATTTGCGGAAATTTAACTTTCGGGTTGTTTATTCTCCCATCAATAAAATTCCAACTTTCTATACTCAAGGACCCCATTCCGGATATGAATTCCTGGGGTATTTATAGGATTCCTTGCCAGTGTGGTTTTAATTTACATTGGCCAAACTAAGAGAGCCTTAAAATTTCGCGTCAAAGAACATGAGGCATATGTTAGAAAAAAAAGGAAACACAGAAGTCTTCTGTTGCTCAACATTGTTGGTCCGAAAATCACACTTTCAATTTTTTCTGCTGCCAAAATTATTCAAAAAACATCTTCCATTGGAGAACTGGATTTTCTAGAGGCATTTCACATTCATAAAAATCTTCTGTTCTAGTTAACGATCCTAATTCCAATCCAAATTTGCCTTCGGCTTTTAGAGAAATTATGTTTTAGTTCTGGTTTCGCCAACAGATGGCGCCACTTGCTTATTCTTGTCCAGGCTTTCTTATCTTATCTAATCATTATTTCCTATCTTGTTCATTTGCGGTTTTGCAGCTGAAGATGATGGTTCGGTAAAACCATCGAAACTAGTCCTGTGAAAATTTTGTAGGTATAACGCTGATTTTTGTTGTTTGACTTCTGAATTACTTTTTGTAGATGTTAAGCGACTTATCGGTAAGTCTAAAAATAAGAACAGAAACTTGCGAAGTGTGTAAAAAACCCTTTATTTTAAATTCAATAAGATAGACAGAAACGACTCCTGGCGCCTACACGTCCACTAGCACTTAGACGACAAACTCAAATTAGTATTTCAAATATTAAAGCTAAAGTTAAATTACTAATAGTCAAAGGTTACACAGAGTAATTTAACACAAAATTGGCTGGGACTTCACAGGTGTGAATTTAACTGTCGGCAATAACGCAAGGCCGAAGACTGGAACTCTTATCTTAAAACAGTAAACATAGTAACACGGCCTTCAAAAGACAAAACACGCTCTGTCTCACTCACTTAAATACACGCGACGACAGACCCAGCTGAAATACACGTGGACTCATTTGCATTCTAGCGGCAAAGCGGAAAGAGAAACGTGACCAGAGCCGGATTTAAACTTGGTAATGCCCTAAGCTATTTAAGGTATGGAATGCCCTAAGCTATTTAAGGTATGGGGCACTTTATAAGCCTGTTATACTATATTTTAATATTATATTTACACCATATTTTAATTTTTTGGGGCCCCAAGAAATTGGGGGTACTAAGCTATAGCTTGTTATACGTAAATCCTGCACTGAGAGTGACAGTAAAGTTTCAGAACTAAAATAACTAGTTATTCAGATTAAAGAAACCCTAGAAACTCTTTTGTTAAAACATATAAGATATTTTGTATAAAAAAGTTCCCATACCCTCTATTGAAACTACTTTCAAAGTTCTTTTTTTTGCTTTTAAACAAAAGGAAAATAAATAAGTACATTGTTTCAAAACCTCCGACAATAACATTTTTTTTAAATTTAATCCTTGTGTTTATTTCGCCATTTCATTCCGATCAAGTGCAATTGGCTTATACTTCAGCCCATCTTGCTTCATCGTGTTTTCCATTTTTAACGCCATAAAAATCTCGACAAGTGCTATTTTTAATTAATCTCTCTGTATTCTTTGCCAAAATAAACAAACATGCTTGCTTTGTACAGACATTAGGGATTTTTAGAAGCAGGAAAGATGAAAAATTAACAACGGCTTCGCCGGGAATCGAACAGCGGACCTTTGGAATACCGGCCCAGTGTGCAAACCACTACACCACGGAAGCGGGAGAAATACTTTATATACTCCCCCTTTAAAAGGGCGACTAGTTTTTTTTTAGGGGAACCAATCGCCAAATCCTGGGTGAGGAGAATCATCATCCAACACCCTTTTAGTTTGGGCGCTACTGTAGAGACATTAGGTATTTTTGGAAGTAAGCAAGATGAAAAATTAGCAACCCCCTTCGCCGGGAAACGAACCACGGACCTCTGGAATACTGGCCCAGCGTGCAGAACCACTACACCACGAAGGCACGCTAGGAAGACGGGAGAAATACCTTATAGCTTGTTGCGAGAAATGTTAAAAAACAAGCTAAGAGATGCTTTTACATTGGAACTCATTACTTGAAAAACTATCACATGCTAATTACATACACACAGATATCACATGCTAATTACATAAACTTAAGATAAATTTAATTAGAGAATATTTGGATATATATACCAAAAGAGAAATTTATCAGCAAAGAACATTTGCAGAGATTCACGATGCTTGATTACTTTGAAATAAGAGAATCTATTAGGAACAGAAATTGCTAAATAATTACAAGAATAAACTAAATTCGCTCCTTCATTAAAAATATATGATAGATATAATGCATTTTTGTTAATTTACATGGATATAGAAATATAAATCTAAGAAAAAACTTCTGTCAAGTGTGCAATTGATAGCTTCTGAAAATCGAAATTTTATCTGTTTACATTTAAAAATGACTGCGGATAAGTAGTACCGGATTATCGGAACTTTATTACATAAGCAAATACAAATGTCTTTTATGCAACACGTCTAAAAGTTACACTTGCTGCAAATTATGTTACCTTTTATTTTAGAGTTTAAAAGTTAGTCTTCTGAAAAAAGGTTCAATTGATAGCTTTAATCGGTTTAAAAATATGTTTACAAATTGCCCACAGTTGTCCAGATTTATGATCTGTTTATTTACTTCACATTAAGAGCAGGGAAATAGTATGAGTGGTACTTATGATTTACAAATATGGTATATTAGAATAAGAAGAAATTACTTTTTCAAAAAGTTATTTTGTTTGACCTTACTTTCCAAATTGTAGAATCCTGGTTGTGTAGAAGTTTAAATTAATGTCTTTCAGACCCTACTAGACTGACAAGCGATTATCGCTCCAGTCTAAATTAAGATCACAAAGTTCTGAAAAGGTTAAAAAAACCTCTTCATTAAAACTTTAATAGAAGGCACTATTTGAACTTTCAAAGAAAACTCAGCCACTTGCGGTTATTTAAAATTATACAAACATTAGAATTTTTTTCGTAGCCAGAGAGATGAAAAATGAGCAACGACTTCGCCGGGAATCGAACCGCGGGCATATTTCGCAAGTGCACATCAGTGTAGCCACTGAGGGAGGGGCTTCGAAAATGGACCAATGAGCTTCTATTGCTCTTGCAATGCTAAATCTTCGTGCATGTGAGCGTATGTTGTTTATGTTTTAATTTGCATTTGTTTCGCAGTTATAAATGTATGGCGTAATAGTAGAAAAATCTCGTAGTGCTTTCGTTTGAGTTTAATTAATCGCTGACATTTCACTCTCGCGATTTTTATCGTGCATTAATATTTGGATTGATGTTAATGGCTTATTATCGCTCTTTACATCGAGAAAATGACTCAAGCTACAGTTCACTATGAATAAAATTCGGCGTTGGCTATTATTATACGACATCTTTTTCATATAGACTGCGAAAAAAAGGTGCTGACTTCTATTTACATGTATAATTGGTATATACATATATATATAATATTTTTCTCAGATATTTCTTTCTTCATCTTATTTACCACTTAATTCATATTTCACATGAATATTTTTGCAAAGTATCAAGTACGTTCCATCTTACTGGATTCAACTCATCATTAAAGACACCCTACTTATAATATATTGGTAAAGGCCGCACTAGGCCGATCACCTCTTAATTATGTTATGACATAGACATAGACATGTGTTTCTATTTATTTCAAATTCTTTCAACCAGGTAGTGAAATCTTCCTAATTGCTTATCTTTGATCTAACTTTACAATGCAAATTTTCAAAAGAACTCGACGATGCTTTAATTATTTTGTACAGAAAATTGCGTAGCAGAATATTTTCAATCATCTTGCTTTAATCTTAAAGCACGCGAAAGGTCAGTTGACATGACAGAAATATTACTGGATGCCTATTGGTCCATCCTAGAAGCCACTCCCTCGGTGGTTACACAGATGTACACTCGTGAAATATGCGAACCGCGGAGCTCTGGAATACGCGCCCGGCGTGCAGACCACCTCACTTCGAAGGCATGCCAAAAAGGCGGGAGAAATACCTTATAAAATTACTGAAGCTGAAATTCGAATTCAAGCGTAGTCGGAAGACTACACAAAATGGTATACTTTTAACGTCGGCTTGCGAAAATGGCTAAAAGCCGAAATATTCTCTGGCAAAACTGGGGATAGGACGTAATTTGCAGGCTAGGTTGCCAAAAGCTCTACCTCTTCATTCAAACTCTCAACTTAAACAACGAATTTACATTCTGGGAAGAACTACAGAAACAAGTTATAGTAAAGGTTTATTTCTTAATAATTTTGCATAAAATGCCTTGTAAATGTTATTTTATAATGTGAACATCACAAACAGGGTTTTTCTAATCACAAATTTTAAAATCTCTACTTCTTAGGACACAGTCGTTTGCATTCAAATTAAAATCTGATGACAATGATAAAATTTTATAGCAACATATATATTATAAGATTGCTTATATTTTTTTCAAACGGTATTATGCTTTTCTAACATTTTGATATTTTTGTTTTTATATCGTTTAAGTTAAAATGAAGAAATAAATTCTTAAGCTCTTAAAATTAAAATTGTATTAGAGTTGAGATTAAACTTTCTTCAGCAAAAAAAAAAAAAAAAAAAAAAATTATGCTAAGAATAGCAATAGGGATAATTTTCATTTAAATGAAAAATTAAATTTAATAATTTTTTATATTTTTAATTTTTTCCTATTATTTTATTTTCTGAAAAATTTTTTAACAGTAAATTCTTTGAGATTTTAGACTGCATTTTCAATCTATAAGTTTCGCCATCTCTATACCCACACTCACCCATCCACGTATCTCATAATCTGATTTAACGTGAAAGAGTGGACTAAAATATTTCTAGCTTCAGAAAGGATCCTTTGAAAATTGAAAAAGTATATCATACATTTTTATAATTCGTAAATTTTTTTTTAATCTCATGGCTCAGTTTTTAACAAATAAAACAATGTTTAAATCTAGTTTTAAATTGAAGTTGATTCCTACTACTGTATTCAAATTTACAAAAAAATGTATAAAAGAATTTATTCCGTTATAGAATAGCATTGGCAAAGGAACTTTTTTACAGAAGGATGCAAGCCCCGACACTGCCTATTAATCACCGTTAAATTAGTTATGTTATTCTTGAGTGTTTTTGTTTACAAAGCATGTGTTATCAATGTGTTGCCAATAAAAAATTTTTGAAGTGTTTCATTATATTTCGCTCATTTTTTATTGAAATTATTTATCAAAAGAAATTATTATAAAAAATCTGTTATATTTAGAAAAATTTTACTGTAGCCAAAGGGAGCTAATAATGGAAACATGTTGTTCTCACTAAATCATATATCGTTTAAAAGAAAATTGTGCTATGCCTGTTGCCAGCAATAAAATCCTAAAAACAAATCTTAAAAAACTTTCAGTAATACGAAATATGCATCATCACCTTGCAGCCCTTTTCACTTTTTCATTTCTTTCTTCTATAACTAAGTTAGAAACTTCTGTAAGGTACTTCAAGGCTTCAGATTCATATTTGCCACCCTTGTCATCTGAAAAACAACACAAACGCATACATTAATTTACTGTACTATGAATCAGGCTTCATTTTCGTCGAAACAAAAATACTATTCTTACCTCCCAAGCAACGAAGCGCAACGTCTGCATTTATTATGACTTCCCCACCCATAACACCCCATAATTTCGTGGTACTTGAGTAATGAAAGTGCTGCGTTTCTTCGACCTGCGCAAAAGAAAACAATATAAATAAAAGAAAAAATATTATAGATTGGTTTGCGAATTGTTTACAAGGCCTTACTCGTGTTTTACCCGTGTTTTTGAAAACTTTCAAGTAATCCTTCACCTGCGAATCAAAATTAGGTATGAGAATAGCCATTATTTCCAGAGAAATCCTATGCTTCATTTAACAATGGAATAAATGCTACACAATATGTTTTTTTCCCAGCAAGTATACCGAGAGATGATCAAAAGAATAATATTTTAATAAAAAACGGTGTAGTTTGTTATTTTCATGCTTTGTTTTTAGGTAATATGCAAAGTTCTTTATGGTTGCGGGAAAATGAATTTTAATAACGGAGGAAGACAAGAGTTTATCGCATTCTGGAATCATTTTTATTTGTTTCTTTAAATTCCAATAAAACTGTAACATGGACGCTATTTTATTTTTTCAAATTGTCTCAGAATCGAATATCGAAGAAAGTTATTATATTTCCAGCAAAATCCAGCATTTGATTCCAGCAAATGTTATGCATTTTTATGCTGAATCTTACATCGCTATGATAAATGAATGGATGAAAATAAAGTACCAAACAGTTCTATTTACAATTTCTCATTGTTACTATACTACCAGATGGGATGTGTTGTTAGTATTTTTTAAGAATTCCACTCAAATGTGTGAATTATATGAGCATAATATTAATAATTAATTATATCAGCATTAAATGCTTATATTCAGTGCTATTTTCAGATTTAATGTCTAGATGCTTTGTTATCACTGTAACCTAAGCATGTAAAATCACATTACAAGTTTAAAGACAAACCCATTTAGTTCTCTCACGCTAACCTTCCTTTACTTTTAGAAGCGTTACATTAACTAGATTTTTTTCAACAAAAGAAACATTGCCTAAGTACAGGAAAATTTCCGATAACATTGTACTTTCGGGATTGGAGCGACCTCATATTTTATTAAATATGCCGGTTTATCAGATTAAAATCGCCTAATGAATCAAAATGACTTTTTTTTTTTTTTTTTTTTTTTTTTTTTTTCTTATTAGTGAATGAATTGAGGAATGAGAAAAACTGAAAATAAGTAATTCTGCAAATATATTAATGAGTATATCTTAGTAAATAAATTTACTCATAGTTTAATTACATTTAATCAGCTTTTAATTTAAAGTAATCAAGTGCATTATATCTTTCCAAATGAAGTTGGAATCCATTTGTTCATAAAATTGCTAAACCTTCTTCTCCACTTTTCATTTCCTTTGTTTGCTACCTGCAGATTGAAAATATTCTTAATTATAAGACCGACAATTTACTATTTTAGAGTTGAAATAATGGTATAATAGCTAACAGCTCGGCATTTGAAAACAGCAATCTAGAGCAAATGGTTATGACTTTCAACTCATTCGATTATTTCTGTCTTTCAAAACTGTAAAAGACTAACTGAAAATGACAGAAAGAAGCAAAGCAGCTGTCAGATCTCTCTGAATTCGAATGGAATGTTAATACCGTCAGGTTACGGCAGAAATTAGTGAAAGGAGTGTTAGATTACCGGGTGTGTCAACAAACCATTGGATGCCAGACTTCCGATCTTTTATTGTATAATATCGAAAAGGTAAATTAGTAGCTATCGCATGTACTTCGCAGGTACTTGAACAAGTACTTTCCCTTCGTAAATACACGCATTTTTCGAATTACAGTGGAACCTCGAGATACGCACACCTCCATCTACGAGAAATTCGAGATACGAGGAAAGTATGAGCGAAAGATTTGTCTCTATATACGAGAGACTCCTATGACATACGAGCATTGACTCAATTCGAGATACGAGGAAAGTATGAGCGAAAGATTTGTCTCTACATACGAGCATTGACTTGAAATGAGTAATGAGCATTCAATCAGGCTGTTGGTATGCGTACCGCCATTTCCCGATCCGACTCTACTCGGTGAATCCCCTAGTCAGATCACTCGGTGTTCTTTGATCTACGTCAGGGTTGTCCAACTGGCGGCCCACGGGCCGTATACGCCAAATTATTTTTACGGCCCGCGAGTACATTTTATTAAGAATAAATTTATGTTACTAAATTATTATTATTAATATTAAAATTATTTTACTATGTGAAAATTTAAATCTAATTTGAATTTAAAGTAGGTACTATTTAGTTCGCGTAACTTCATTTAACCTGGCTGAATACAGCAGCAATCCGTTTAACGTCTGATGATGATTGGCTCAACGTTGGCGCCACATATTATATTTGCGGTTGGTTGTTTATCTATGGTTGGCGCACGTGATGCGAACACTACACTCCGCGTTTTGATTGATTCATGCAATCGTGCGAGTGCAGTCTTGTCTAGAATTTGCTGAGGGGTGACTGTGTTATAATATTATTAACTTAATTTCATATTTTTAATTAACATAAACTGACTTATTAAACTGACTTATTATTATTTATCAACCTTCTTGGCCCCCGAAATGTTTGGTGAAGATATTATGGCCCGCGGGCTATGATAAATTGGACAGCGCTGATCTACGTGTTTGTGCGCTTGTGAGTCAATTGTTTATTACATTTAACGTGAAAATAATTGTTTCATAATACCTACCAAGAAGACTGTTTCCACAGATTGTGCTGCAAAGAAATATAAGGAAGCCATGGCCGTTGAAATTAAGAACGAAATCATAGATAAATAAGCGTGGTGTGAGTGGCGGAACTGGCGAAGACCTTACGGCCTTTAGAAATATGTTTATTAAAGCTCAAATGTTTATTGAAAATATGGTGATGAAGTGAATTTCTAAAACGGTTTTTTATTAAAGAAAGAAAAAAATAAAATGATTGTTTAGAAATGTATCAATTTCATAATGAATTCAAAATTTTGATTTAAAGAATTGCGATCTACAGAAGCAAACCAACTGAAGCTTATAACCAAAGAACGCTGAACTAGGATACCGAGTGCTTCATATTTTAATAGTCTCAGAAAGCAATGAAGTTTTTTGAGTAAATAAGAATGGTTATAACTTTAAAAATTTATATTTGTACCCACTTTTTAAAATTTCTAGAGTGTGGATAAAACTAATAACACAAAATCCAGCTATTTTTCAACGTACCAAACAGTCTGACTTAAATTATACTCTTTTGAATAATGCGTTTATAAATTTACCATATGAATTATTATCAGAAAGTAATTCGTCCCCCTTACAAAAAAAATTTTCTTATAGTACTAGATGTAACTCTATGTGCTAAATGCTATGATTTTATACTCTGACATGATAAGGAAAAGGTATTTTTTCTTTCATATATACAAGACTTAATGCTGTACTTGGTAGAACATTTTAACCCACATTTTTCTTAAAAACTTTAATTCTTGTTTGACATTAATTTTTTTTTTTATTTTACACAAATTCTTCCAAAAACAAACTTGTTCATATGGGAATGAATGCTGCACATAATTATTCCAACAACATCTGATATCTGTTCTTATTTAATATAAGTTTTATTCTCAGCAAATATTCAGTTCAATAGTTTTCAAGTACTCCATTTTTCAGTACTTAAACTCACAGTAGTACTATGGTTTTATGAATCACTTATTTCTACTACCCAGGCTTAGAGGCATAAAAATTTACCAGCCATAAAAGATGTAATCACATATTTTAATTTGTTTTTAATAAATTATGAAACGCCTAATTAAACGGATTGAAAGTTGTTTTTTCATAGGCAAAAAATATCTAACTTGCTTTACCAAAAAATCTATTAATATGTATATTTTGCATTCTTTTCGTGATCAAAATGTTTTGAAATTCCAACCTCCCAAAGGTGGAAAAGTAGCGTTGAACACGAGAACGAACGCTTGACCCAAAAATGTCATACAGTAAATGCATAAAAATAAGGGTGGTTTGACCTTGTGGCATAAACAAACGAATTTCGTCCTTGCACTGAAAATTTTAGCTCGATCATGGCTCTTTAGAATTCTTGTACAAGGAAATTTTAAACAATAGGAAGATTAATAATATAAATAAAAAAATTCTTTTTCACCTACCTGGCAGTTGATTCTTGTTGCTAGTTGTTGATTTTCATACCTCAATGGGTAGACGATTTCATCCTGCCCAGACGTCGAATAAAGCAGCACGCTAAAGATGATAAATCCAAAAGTCGCCATTCTCGGTATTTTTGGCTTCGGCGTCTATTGAAAAACCTGATCCCAACTGTTATTTTCTGACTTCTATATTTGCAAAACAAGAACAGTAATTTAAATATTTCATCAAAAAGTTGGAAAATATACCTAAGCAGCTGTTAAAATTCGGATAAAATATTTGCAGCTTTCGAACTTCTCCAATGGTTTCTGTATACTGATATCAAACTTTTGTCCTCACGTATGCAAGTTACTACCCAAAGTATGTGAATGGAAGAGTTATTAAACACTGCAACTGCAATAATGAGTTAGTTTCTGCTTCATTACGAATGTAACAAAAGTTATGTAACGCCTTTAGGGTGGAAGGCAGTTCAGTTGGGCGTTTCTGGAAGTTTCATGACCTTTTAACAATCTATAGACAACTCGCATTTTGTGATTAATTTATGGACAAAGTTTTAATTTCAAGGTTAAAGTACAATATTTAAGAAAACTTTAGATCAGAGAACTGTTTTCTTACGTTCCTCATCGACACATGTCCTTTGTTTCCCTATAAGAAATATTGTCGGTACCTATGTGTTATATCATTTCAAAATCCAACGCTGAACTGGGCTTTATCTATTTAGTCTATGCAGAATAAATCTATAATTCCTAAATATACATTATGAATTCTATTCGAGTATTTTAACCTAAAGATTGCACAAGATGGTATTCCTAATGTAAATTAATATTAATTATTGACACTGCCAAATGAAATGATTATGGGCCATATGTATATCTAAAAATGAAAAATTTCAATTATTAAAATGAACGCATGAAGTTCTTCGTGACGGTAAACTCTGGTTCACGATAACTGTGATAATTGAAGGATCCAAAGTCCGCGTTGTACGACGGATGTTGTAAATTTCAGACCACAGATTTCTGAATGGTTGCATAAATTACAGTGTGTGTGATAGAACATGCATTATAACCAAGAAGGAGAAAAATGGCTGTAGAAAAAAGTTTCTTATATCTGCAGTTCTACTAGCTGCTTTTGCTCCTCTAATAGTTCAGATCTGTTTCAGGTGCCATCTGATATGCTGAAATTTTGTTGATACTGCTCTAGAACTAATCTATTCATGTCCTATAACAGTTAATGAATGCTAAACTATTGATGTGAACTGCCCTGAGAGACGGTTGAGACTCCTACGAACAGATGGTTGTTTCGAAATGATGCCAAAGAAGCAGAGCATTTTAGCAACCGAAATCCCTTTTCTCTAATGGAATTAAGAAATTGGTGCAACAACACGAAAAAGCACCAAAATGTCGGTGGATTATGTAGGAAAATGACATGACATCTATGTAGGTAATTGAATTATCATGGAACGCTTGCCAGAAAAGCATTCTTTTATTCCTATAAAATTTATTCTCTACTGTCTGTTAATTTTGCTCTTTCTATGTTAGCGTTTCTTATCTTTCCCATTTCCTTCGATTGCCTTTTTTTTTTTTTTGGCTAATTTATTATTATTATTTAAGATTTTAGGTTTACGCATTTCAGAAAATATTAAACTTCTACAAAATTCTCCCATTAAGCATATTTTTATTCATATTAAAATTTTTCATTCATCAAATTAGGCAGAAAATTTTAAACATCCACAGAATTCACATTCATATTAGTAATGAATAATATGAAAGCAAAATGCGTAGACACCTACTAAATTAGATTTGGTACAGCGTGGACACACCCTGTTAAGAGCATTCAGCAAAGAAAATGTGATGCTTGCAGAACAAGAGGAAAGAGTTATGCAAAGGATACTTACCCATTTTCAGAACGATTTCATGATCGTTTAATTAATGTTTAAAATTTAAAGTGCATTTTTTTAAACAATGTTCGATCTGATAGCCTTTTCCCATGTATATGATTTCCATGACAGAAGGGGTTTTCGTAAAATTTCCAGCGGTATTGCGTTCCGCTTCTCTTCCACTACTTTCCAGAGTCCATCTATCGTGGTGGGTTTTCACTTCGAAAGAGCTCTTTTCAAGAACCTAAAGACACACGTTTCCAAGGGTGAGACGTCAGGGGGTTCCCAGGAATACATTGAAAATATATATATGCAATACCTGATACATCCCTGGCTGAAACTTTCTTTGCATTAACGGAAACAAGTTTATACTTTTCCTCTTCTTTTTCAATGATGAATAGATTTTTTTTTTTTCACTCCATTTAGGTAAACCTATGTTTCATCATGGATCACAATGTATTTCCATTTTCTCCTGCTATATAGTTTCCTAGGGTATTCTTCAATTATTCTGTGTTGAGCAATATGCCTCGGCAAAACCTAGTGAACGTTATGATTTTTAGCTTTTTTAAGTTGTAAATTTGGTTTATCATTTTATTTATTGTTATTAGAGATATACTTAAATATTTTACAATTGATTTCTGCGTCGGTGGATTTTCTCTTGTTATTAATAATTTAAAGTTAGAAATATTAGAAACAGTATGCATCTTATTGGGGTATTCATTGCGGTTTTTTTTTTTTTTTTTTTTTTTTTTTTTTTTTTTTTTTTTTCCATGTGGAAGTAATGATCCCTTTCCGATTAATAATATTGCTTATTTTGCACTTGGAAATTTTAATGCCATTAGCATTTCACAACGTTTTTGAATTCTGGAATAGGAATATTTATCTTCCGAAAGCGCAAAAACCTATCCTTCAGTTCACAGCTTGTTTACACGTGAATTTTAAATGAAGAATAAATTTAAAAGTAGTAGACAATATTTCTCATTTCAAATAATAAGCTGTTGCCAGAAATTTTTATTCCCAAAAGTTGCTTTTTTTTTTTTTTTTTTTTTTTTTTTTTTTAAATTCTTTATCGATAGCCTCCTAAAAATGCATAAATAATATAATATAATATAGATACCCTCTGTATAATCAAAAATAGTATTGGAAACAAAACTTCCAAACTTTTATTCTAACAACTCATTTTTAGAATAATTTATTTATTAGCTGCCGATTTATAGCAATTCATAGAAAATGCCTTATCATTAATTAAAAAATAAATTTTCGATTTAAATATTATATAACTTTAACTGTTTCTGTCAGAAAAAGTACTCAGTTCTCCAAAAATTTTAAAAATGTATTACTTGCATATAATTTTTCAAACTGCATGAGCAAACGTCCAACTATGAGAAAGCGAAAAAAAAAAATTCTAACAATTCAGTATGAGGCAAACTATTAGATATTTAAGGTATTTTTATAAATTTCATATAGTTTTCCAGAGATATACCATAAATGTGTCTTTGCATGTTAACTTAACAGTTCTGTGCGAGGGCTGTAATGAAAAAAAAATCGAAAATTTTCCTTAGAAAACTTCCGTTTTACTTAATTACTTTTTTATTTCATTGTGAGACTGTTTTATTTGTGCTACAGGAAATTTAAAACTTGTTTTGTGGGCAATTTTTAAGAGTCATCGAATACTTTACCTCGAACTCCGCACTGAAATTTCACAGCACAACAGGTGTAACGATTAGAACAACTTTTCTGTTACATCATTACTATAAACAGAGACTTGCTAAAGCAGCTTCAAAAAGTAAAGTTGGTTGCGGTCATGCAAATCGTGCAAACTTGATTTGTAAAATTTTTAGTTGCTGATTTAAGCTGCAGAAGAAAGAAAAAGTTATGGGTAAGCCCATAAAATGATGACTCAGAAAACTAACGCAGAGGCGGCAGGAGAAAATCGAGGGCAAGCAAGCTAGAGAAGAAATTTGAGCTTAAAATTCTACTACTGCCGAGCACTGTAACAAAACAAAATGACGCGATGGCAAGTAAACAATTGGATTTTACTTTTACCTGGACAGCAATAAAATTAGTCTAATTTTTCTTAATTGTCAGTCCCTGTATATACGTCACCTATGTATTAACATATACCTCTCCTATTGAGGTTTCTCTATTTTAAAACTGCTTTGAGCAAGCAAATAGACATCCTTAATATACTAATTAATGCTAGAAATAGTGTAACGTGTAATAATTTACAGTGCTATAGTTTAAAGGTTAAATAAAATATCCTTCTTTACCTGCAATAGTCACACCTGCAGCTCCAACAGATGAAGAAGAAGGTTCTATATGATCTTTCAAACAAAATTTGCACAGCAAATTTGTGCATTTTATGCTGATTTTTGGCTTTTTTATTTATTTATTTATTTATTTTTATTTTAAAGGAAATTTAACAAGCGCTTCTTCTCTCCCTAACTATCAGAAGAATTTTACAAAGAAGTTCAGCGGATGGTGTATCACAGATCAGATAGCCACGTCTAATAGAGAAACAAGTATTCGCAAAAGGCGCCTTTTAAATTAAAATTATATAAAATAATAAGGCACCTTTTTACTTCATTATTGTTTAAGATTGTGGAATTAAGGGAAATTACTTTTTGCGAATGAATTAATATAAGTTAATAAAATAAGTTTAATAAAACTCGTTTGTTAGGAAAAAAATTCCTTTGAAATGTGAAAGGAAAAAAAAGTAACTGCATTTTACGCAAACATATTTCCAAACATCATTCTTTATTTCTTTATATCTTTTTTTTTTTTTAATTTTTGTTTAACATTTTAAATTATGCTAATTTGATCTTTTTTGTATCTAATATTTATTCTCACGTTAAATCTCATTTCACTATTCTCAATATTTTGAATAAAAAGCGTACTAATTGCATTATATCAGTTTATGAGTTGGAAACGGTAAAGCAGAATAGTATACACAGTCATTACGTAGAGTCAATTAGATAATTGTTGGAACAGAAAACATGAAAAATGAGTGATACCCTCGCCAGGACTCAAATTCCAAACCTACTGATTGCTAGCCGTACATTCTTCCTATTACACCACGAGGGCATGCCACTTTTATATAGTCATTAATCAATATACATTAATATACAATTAATATGCTACATTTTATCACATTTACGATACATTGATATACTTATAATGCATACTTATAATACACTAATTACACCTATTATGCATAGTCATTGTAGAGTTATTATATCTATAACGTATTTTCTCCCTCCTTTTCGCATGTCTTCGTGGCGTAATTGGAAGCATACTCGACGCGTATTCGAG